GTGACACACACTGACTCCCGGCTTTGTTGTCTTGAGGGCGAAGCATGGGGCTGTGAGCAAGATTAAGTCTGTACCACCTGTGGGAGCACACACATCTTCCAAGAAGTCTTCCTTCCCCACGCATTTCATTTTTAAGTGCTTTCAGTGCTGACAAAGTACCTTTTGTAATCCTTCATGTCTGCACACCTGCATTGTTTCTGTAATGGTGTGGAAAATTAATTTTTCCCACCTAATGAAGACAAGTCCTTGAGGTGCATTGCAAAGCGTACTCTGGGGTGCTGGGCCCTCCTCTGCAGTCTGATGGGGAGGGAGGAAGGCAGAGAAAGAAATGCCCCTCAGACATTGTCAATATGAAAATTCTTAGGTGTGATTTTTTATTTTTATTTTTTAAGTGTTTTCTCCTTCTTATGTTCTGAAAAGGGAATGAATAATTGGGAGATGAACAGCCCTGAGGTGCTGGTGAAATGGGAAGGGAATTAGAGGGAAGTGAGCAGATGGGAGGTGAGAGGTAGATGAATAGAGTCACACAACGTGATCTGATTGATCAGCTGCAGTATGTCATGCTGAGAGTTTGAAGCCTCCTGCACTTGGGGAAAAAGAATGCCACCCTCCTTCCTCTGTGAAAGCCTCCAAACGAAGCCTAGCACAAATGTAGGATGTCCTTGCTCCTGTGGGCTGCAGCACATCCGTGTTACTGTGATGGAAAGCACAAAATTTGAGGGATCAGAGAACTGAAGGCTATCTTTTACAGTGAGTAACTAATGATGCACTGACAATTATTATTAGCTCAGTGCAGGGTTTTAGGATTTTATTTTTTATAGGAAACAAAAGCAATACCCAGCAGACGTCAATCGCTGCGAATTGATTCGCTCCATCTGTACTCTGACAAGAGCCTTCTGAAACAAAATGCAACAAGAAAGCTTGATCCAGTCTTTTTATGCTTTTTTTTTTTTTTTTTTTTTTTTTGACAAAATTTGAGGTAGTTGCATTGAAACGACCACACGCATAAAGCCATCTGCTGTCTTAGATATGGAGGTACATACCAACATGCAGTGCTGTCATTTAAAATATATGGTTGACCCGCTGGAAAAACAGCTGGATAATGTTGATTTTCCAGACTTCCAAATATTCTTGCTGAACAGTAAAAACACCATGGTGGTTTTGATTGACATTTTAAATGGAGCACACTCAGATGATACCTATGCTTCAGAAGTGAGAATTTGTTTCTGCTTCCATTTCAATTTTTCTCTCCCAAGGAAGGCTAGCTAGGCTGTGAAACTGGGCTAGGACATTTTGTGGCAATTAATTATTTGTGGTGATTAATTACCTCAGACTTAGTTCCCCATCCACTGTAATTATGTTCTATTTTTACAGGAGCTAAGTCTCCAGCATGTATTGTGTTAAAGATTGGCAGAGGGTCTGCCAGGCCAGGACTCTTGTCTATGTGATACAAACAGTTGTCTTCTTGTGTTAAATTTTAACTCAACCAGATCCCAAGCATTATCCAGGCTGGTTGTTGGGAAGATTTAGTTGAGACAGAAGGAAAGACGAAAGGTCTTCAATTCAGATATATTCATTTATAATTCTAAAGTTGCAGCACTCATGCCACATTTCAGGTGAGTATTAAACTTAATATAGTGTGAGGTTGCTACAAGACTTAGGAAACATTGCCTGAGAAATCATGGAAGCTGTTCCACCTGATGTCAACAGACAAAAATGCTTCAGAACAGGGGCTTGAATGTAGGTAACACATGAATTATATGAGGCCCTTAAGACAGTGGGACTCTATGCTGTCTTTGTGTCCCTATTGAAGTACTACACAAAAGATGTGATTAAAATCAAAAGGAAAAAAAAAAACAACTCAGTTAAAAGTGCATGACTCATGAGCTTTAATATGATCTCAACTCAAAGTCTAAATCGTGTAATGCCAACTGGCCTGAAAGATGCAGACTGGAAGACATTGTGCAAGGTTAGATTTGAGCGAGGCAACCCCTATAGAAACTTCCCCGGTGTGGCCGAATACATCAGGTCACAGCCTGTGAAAGTTACCTGACCTACTGGTGTATGAAGAACACAAGGATCTTTTGTTTGTGGGATTCCACTATGCATAAGGACATGGAGGCTTTGTTTCCATAAATTTCTTTATTACAGCAGTGAGGAAAAAAATAGTAATGCAGTTAAAGTGGGCAGGAGTACTTCTGAAAGAGAAGTCCTAGCTTTAATACTAGAGCCCACATACAAAAATCCCTAATTGCTGTGCAAACTTGCACAAACATAGACCATTGCTTTGTTCCTTGGCCTGAAGGCATATGTTAGATACACAAAAGCAATATGAAACAAACATAGGGGACATTTATTCAAAAAGTATTTGTCTTAATCTCCACAGCAAAATGTAATTACTCGTCAATTGAAAATGCTTTATGCAACACTGGCCTATTATGAATCATATTTCTTTGTCATTGAGTATAGTTATAGAACATATATTGGAGGATGGTATATAGGCCAGTAAACCATCTCTCTCACACCAAGTTATTACGTTAGATTGTGAGCTGCATTGATGCATATTGCCAAAATGTTTTTCTGAGTATCTGTACTGTTAATATTCACCAGAACTAAAGGACATTTTAAAAAGTAGTTTGGAATCTTGTTGAGAATTGAGTAATTTTATTTCTTTCTTCCTAAAATTGAAGTTATAACAAAACATTTTTTCAGCAAATGGAAAACTGATGCATTTGGAAAATGGAAATCTGAACACAACAGTAGGCTGTGGTGACTTAGAAAATAGTGATGATTGTTTCAGTCATTACCATGCACTTCAGAGAGATGTCTGAATGGCTTATTTTAAGACATGGGGCTAAGCAGCTTCTAGAGAAAAAAAGGCATTTCTTATGTTTCAGAGTTTGGCATATACTAACGCCTCAGTTGGATTCCTCTTCATATTGAAGGGCTGAGCATAGTACTTGAATCATTCAGTGTCTTGAATGTGTGGGTCAGGTGGGCTGCAAGGCATTGGCTAAATGCTCCAGCTAATGTGGCTCTTGTGTGAAGAGGAGCAGCCTGGGGCCTACATACAGAGCTTGGAATTGCATTGCTCCCAAGCTGGCACACATCTGAGCACCAGTGCAAGGAGGAAACTTGTATCTTGCTGGTACAGATGCAATATTTTTTTGTGTGTGATGAGTTGAGAGCAGAGATAACCAGCAGTGGTCATGCAAGGTAGATTTGAGAGATTTTTTTTCGTGTTTGACTCAGGGCAGAAACTTTCCACTGTATGCTGGAAAATGCTGCAAAAATATGTAACTTTTTAAACTCATTTTAGGGCAGTAGATCAGCCACAAACAAAACATTGGCAACAAGTATTAATTAGGTACTATTTAATAATTGAACTTGATACTCCAGAAAAGAGAACAAAAAACTTGTGATTTGAATCCATTCTGTGTCAAAGTCACATGCACAGTTCTTGCTGTCACATACTAGAAATATGTAAATTGCCATTTTGCATAATCTCTTGAATCAGCTGCTTTTCTATATTAAAATGCAGTCATAAACATTATACATGTCACATTACTGTAAAAAATACACAGTGAAAACATTTGGGCAAACACTTGTTTTGAAAAATTTGGCATAAAATCTTCCCATTGAGCATCCAGTTTTTGTTATTTCTCTCTGGAGATTTTTTTTTTTTTAATGAAAAAATTTTATTATGCTTTAATGAAAGCTTCAGGCATATGAATAAGAAAATAATCTTACAAGTTATTCACAGTCACACTATTGAGTCTTGATCAAGTGCTGCAGTACCACAGGATGCAATTTATTAGTGATTCTTATCAAAAGAGAAGAGATCTCTAATTGCATAAAACAGCTAAGGCTTAAACTGAGTTTACCATAATGAGCAACTGGGTACTACAAACATATCCTGCAGGTAATGAGAGTTACCCCTAACTCTAAAAGGTATCCATGAGAAAACTGGCTCTTTAAAATGATATCATGCAACATGCAAATGCTTGCTCCTGCTACCTTTGAAAAAGTTCCCTTTTAAAAGTTCTCTGTACAGAAAGTGATTTTACTCTAAAACTCATTTCCAGCTCCACACTGAGAGGCAACTCCTAGCCCAAAACATAGGAAACGGAGGATAATGAATCTCTGTAACACACTCATCAGTTTCTCCCATCATAGCTCAGTGGGCAAACACGGGAGCACACAGACCTCAGAAAATGAAATCCTCTTGAATTTTCCCATTAAGCTAAACCCATTCAGCTTTTGTCACTGCCAGAAATCCCAATAGTTCACTTTCTTACTCATTTATTCTGCTTCTTTTTGCCCATTAGAAGCAAAGGACAAGCTACGTTTCCCACCTTGAAGACAGAAATGAATTTAAAATGGACTATCCCTGAACAAGGTTCTCCTTCAAGGGTGTAGACAAGGAGATAAAGATAAATGGCAGGAATGGGCAGCACAGCAGAAGCTCCCTTGATGTCACATTAAGTCTGGTTTCTTCATTGGTCTTGGATAACTCAGGGAAGTTCTGTCCCTTAGGCACCTCCATCAGTAAAATGTGATTTATCTACTTGCCAGTCACCAGGTCTGTCACAAGCATGAGCTGAGACTCATTCCTGCAAGCACTTGTATACATTATTTTGTTCGTGCAAAGTAATCCAGTAAGCAGTAGTAGAAGCTATGTTGCCTAGGAGGACATTAAGTGCTAACAGATCCCATGGTTTCTCAGGATCAGACCTTTAATGGATTTAATTATTTTTTTTATGGATTCAACATAGTAGCTATGCACTAAATATTTTGAATGCATTTGAAATAAATAAGGAGTCACTTCCCTATTCATGTTTAAAGAATGTGTCTCAAATAGTTTATATAGACCAGAATAAATTAATAAAAGGTGATAAAGGTGAAAACGAACAAGAACAAAAATCACGAAATGAAGCAAAAGGATCCCAGTAAGTGTTCTGCAGCAGCCCTCACTGGCATGTGCCTGTTCTTGCTTTCAGGTCCCAGTCAGTGGTGGAAGCCGGCACGCTGAAACACGAGGACCTGGGGGAAAGCGAGAACACCCAGCCGCTGCTGGCCCTGGACTGAGCTCCTACTCGCCAGTCATGGAAACATTCACAGACTTCCACCATACCAGAAACCCACAGAGCACACGATACACACTCACACATGTGCACGCGTTTTGCTTGAGAACAACTCCTTCATGTTTCTTGCCCAAGTAATAACTGCCACCAGCCATCTGTCTGTCCGCAGGGCCAAAGCTGAACAAAATTTCTATTGACACAGGATGTAAAAGAAGACACAGCAGGGGTCTGTCCATATGTAAAGAACTTGTTTTTCTTTTTTCTTTTGGTCTTGTGGCATTAAAATATTGGAAGTGGTGGGACTGCATTCTCCTTTCAAAGATAGCAGGGAGTGTCAGTAGAAGTTTTCCTGAAGCCACCGGCAGGGATGCTCGGTTTTATAGAAACCAAGGTTAAATGTGTTTTAAAGCAAGGCATCTTAAATTTAAAGTCTGTGCTGAAATTAGCAGTTTAAAGTGGTTCAGAGGGCAGAAATAGCAGCATCTATAGCGTGCTCGAATTCTACAGAAGGATTTAGCATTAAAAAAAAAATAAAAAAAATCAATGCCAGCATAATGCCATTCAACATGACACTTTGTGATTGCCTCATCCATACTGCTTATACGGGGTCACTTATTTCATATCTAGCAAAAATTATTCTTAACTTCTGAAGCCCTTATAAAGCTGTCAGCTAAGTGGAAGGAGCTGTGTGGGCAGCAGACAGACAATTTGGAATGCAATTATTTAATTTTAACGATGTGTTTTTCCACAGGCAACTCCGGAGCCTATTAGATGTGTGTGTGCGTGTGTGTGTGCGCGTGCGCAAGGGGCGTACTAGGGAGACCCATTGGACACATTCACCAGTGATTAATGGCTCAATCCAGATTTTTTCATTTAGGTCACAACGACAAATGAAAGCTCTGCAGAGCCATTTACCCCCTTCCCTCCTGCAGCCAGTGAAAGGTGTAGCCAGAAGGGTATGCTGATTGCAGTTGTGGGCCATGGTTAAATGAGAAAGAAAAACTTAAAATTAATTATTCAGTGCAAGCATCTCCTAGAAAGAAATGTGGACAAACAGAAGAACTGAAATGCCAAAGATCAGTTTGTTATCTCTCTCTTTGCTCTACCTGCAAAAAAGAGTCCCATCCCTTCACTGAAATGGAAACCAGATTAAAGAAATAAAAGAAAAATCGTTATCAAGTTGCATGTGCAGTGACTTTATTTCCTAAAACAGTTACAACCACTGTACACACCTTTGTCTTCAATTTAATTGCCATGCATTGACAATTACTAGAACACGTGGTTGGCACCAACATATCAAAAATAATAGTGTAAACCGTATATAGATAAAATGAGATGATAATAGGCAGCACAAGAGCTTTTCGTACAACTCTGGAACATCCACTGAATTCATTTATAAACACTACACTGGAAGTGATGGTCTAGTTCAACTGGACATGGTCATCATTAACAAATGGAGCAAATAAATGCTGCCTTCATTTACAACATTTTAAGCCTGCACAAGCAGAAAGGACATTGACAGACTCTGTTAACACTCCTGGGATTTACCTGCTTGTGTACGTACAGAATAGCCTCATTCACAATAAACTTCTGCAGAAGTGTGTTACTGATACAAAGCCTGGCCTCCATAGCAGCACATCTTTAAGGCAGTGAATGTTCCCAGCAAGGCAACACAGGAATCAGAAAAAGAAGCAGATGCTCTGAGGCGTGCAGCAACATTAAATAAGACGATTGAGCCCATTTATCTTTGGAATTTCTTCCATTCCCCCTCCCCTGGCATAACAACATAGTACAAAAAACTGCTCTCCTCCCCCCCATCATGAAGATGCACAGACATTGGGATTTGTGACAGAGAACTTGCTTAAAGCGTAAAGTAAAACAAACAAAAATAAATGAGACAGACATTGACTACTATACTGCAGCATTAATGAAGAACTACACTTTGGTTTGCATTTTTTCTCTGTTAAGAGAAACTTACCGCCACTGCTATTGAATCTTTGTGATGACCCATTACTGTTCTTTCAAGTGGGAGATGTTTTGCCCAAGAACTGCAAGTATCACTGAAATCTAGCCCTTGAAGATTAATTATTGAAGGTCAAAATTATTTACTTTTTGACTGTGACATGAATAAATAAATATAGATATATAGGGCATCATATGTAACTGTAGGATCTTATACAGATTCTGTGCTTGCAAGCAAGGTAGCTACAGGCTGGAAGGAATCCACCTCTTAACATTGTGACAAGTACATACTACCTTACAAATAGGAGGCTATACTGCCCTGCTCTGGCACTTCCCTCTGTAAATACATCTAAAGAACAAAATGTTTAATTTGCAATGGCTCTCCATTTAAAAAGCATTTCCATTCACTTCATCCATTGGCATTTTCAATGTGTAAAAGCTTTTTCAACATGAAATACTGGATGGCAAAGAGGAATACATAAAATAATATACCACTTATTCGCTGCCTAATTTCCATGTTTTGCTATATATATCCTCACCATTTATGTACTTGATTCAATAAATGTATCTAAAAAAAAGAGATGCTCTCAGCTCCTTGACAGGTAGGCAGATAGTCGAATCACTTTAGCATTGCAGCAGCAATTCACAATACACCTTGTCACATTCAAGGCACTTAAGATTGCAAATGGCCAATATGTCATTATAAAATTTAATGAAGAGTGCTACTTTGGCACACACAAATTTTGGTTACATTACTTTGATCTATTTGTTGATTGCAACCTGAAAATATAACATAAGAGACTTCAAAGGAATGATGAAACAATCTGAAGGACAGAGTGAATTTTTATAAATAAAGCTCTAAAATTTTTAGCATTGCTTTAGTGTTTATTCAGAGCTATAGAAACTAAAATGCAATATTAAAATACTCCTAAGCCACTAGTTTTAGTTTAAACAGTTCTTGATTCCTCCTTTACAAACTATTTCTTTATTTTACAGAATTACAAAATAGTTTATAATTTGTACTGCGTTATCACTGTACAGAGATACAAAAAAAGCCTGACTTAATTTTTTAATTTTATTTTACTATGGCCTCTTGATATAATGGGTACATTATTTCAAGTTTTGTACATGATTCTCCTAAAGCTCTCCAAAAGTATTTCTGTATGCGTTAAAGTGTGAAACAAATCTTTTCAGCTTTCATGATGATTAATTGAGAACTGTTACCTTCTTGTAGATGGTACTCTCTGTTATTGTTGATTTGGAAAACACATTAAAGCCTAATTAACATTGCTGCCTAAAACTTACTCTTGATCAGAGGAGTATAAGTATGTTTTATTTATTTTTAATAGTCAAAAAAGAAATTAAAGTGCACACCTCCAGAAACTGGTTACAACAAATTATGGTGCAATCACCATGTGTTATGTGGCATTACAAGATTTAATTACTTAATAAAATACAAGTCTGAAAAGCATTCAATTGACGGAAATGCAAACCTGTATTTTGCTTAGCAAATGTTGCATTCTGATCATGCCATATGTGCTGTAGTGCCTGTAATACTTAGGTACCATGACGTTGTCTCTGCAGTACAAAACCACTGAACATTAAAGAAATAAGACAACTGTTCAGTATCCTTTGGACAATGAAGCCAAAGTTGTAAAGACTAAGTAATGTTAATGTCTCCTTGCATAGTACCTGTCTCTCACAACCCATGCTAGAGACGCCACTGCTCTTAACAAGCTTGATGAGAGCTGAGCATCCTAGCACACCTATCCACACCCCACTGGTTTTGCAGGTCAGTTGATAACAGCCAGTCATAAACATCAGTGCAACCTCTGGTCTGTCTTCCCTTTTAGTGTTCTCAGAAGTTAACAGTGGAGGGTCCTGCACCCTCCATCTCCCATGAAATAGCAGAGATGCAAAAATCAGCAGATTGCTTTAAACATCCACAAAGATTTCTCTCTTGAAAATAAGGCCTTTTCACCATATAGCAAATTCTGTATGGCAAATACAGAGTATGTTGTAAATGGTATTGTGATAAGATTGCTTCAGTATTCAACATGCATTTCAAGACAAAGAGAATACCATAAGCTCAATTAAAGGATCATTCAAGCACTCTGTAGGATGCTGGCAGCAGAAGTTAATACAAGTTAACCTGAAGCTCTTTGCTTTGCATTCTGGCAGAAAACCTTGAAGGACTTTGTCCATCTGTTCCAACCTCAAGGAATTCTTCATTAATATTTTTCTGCTGAATGACCATCCAACCTAAAAGGAGCCCGTGGAAGGAGGTGCCTCAGACTCTTGCTGGGTAGAAAATAGTTATCACAACACAAGCTTTTATAACAATAGGAAGAACAGCAGCTCACCACATAATCTTAAGAACTGTTGAGCACTTTAACATCCAAGTCTACAGATGTCATATCTACTCAACGTCTTCCAGAATCGCATTACAAAATTGAAGGTCACCTGCTAAAAGAACTATTTTGTTTTAGAAGAACAACACTAAGAAGCTGATTATGCAAGTTTCTATTCTCTTGCTTCCCTGGAAATGCAAAGGCCACAGTTGGCAAAAATGAAATTTGTTCATATACAGTGTTTTCCTTCTGCTTATAGCTAGAGATGCACTTTGAATATACATTATTTTTAAAAATAGTGGTTAATTAAAAATTTGTTCATAATTATGCTAGAAAAATAGGTAGAAAAAATACAAAACACACATAACCCATTCACATTATCTACAGTTGATAACATAGGGACATGTTTTACACCTAAAGCAGTTAACATTGCAACTGCACATGATTTTCGAAGTTGATTGTATGCATACGTCTATAAATAACACACATGCTGCTACCCAGATAGAAACATGGGAAGCATTTTCTGGATGTAGTATAGCCAATCTTGTACCTGAACATGGCCAAGCAGGTAACTGATTGGTTTTGTATGCATAGTACAGCATGGCAAAAACATCTGCACATTCCTCAGCTTGAAAAACCCGACCTATTGCTCTTTGGCTGTCAAGATTTGTATTTTCAGACTTGCAGCCAGAAAAACAATACATATCAGTGCTGTATCAGTGTGGAAAAAAAAAAAAAAGAAAAAACAAACAAATAAAAACATGGCTTGCCTTTTTTTTTTTTTTTTTTAACTCAAGTCCTCTGTAATTGTAAAATGCCATTATCATCTTTTCTAACCCTTATAATACTGGTATTCCTCATATGCAGGATAAATTAATCCTGCATGCTTCTATTTGCATACTCTGAAGGGTCCTCTCTCCTATGCTCTTCACATCAGAAGTAACCCCTTATATAGCAGGAAGGGTGCGTCTCTGTTGTGCTGATAACTCAGGGTGCCACACATCAACAATAAATATCAGCCGATAATTTTCAGCATCCTGCCACACTTCATGCTCGAAAGAGTCATCAAAAATAAGAACTTTCCCTTCTTCCCAGGTTCTGCAACACAAAAAGAGAACATGCGTTAGTGTAGTGTTTGAAGTGCCATGGCGGTTTTTATAGGCAAGATATAATTAAGATATAAGAGTATCTCAGTCTTAATTGACATAAAAGTAGAGAAAGATCAGTCTAATGAAGCTTCATATTATTGAGGGATTGTTTTCTCTTCCTCTGCATAGTTATGCCCATATGTGCCCACATACATATTCAGACATTTGCAATATTTGTTATTTATTTAATTTTAATGAGCTTAGTCCAATAACCTGGGAACATTCATCAAGCTTAGAGGTACTGGTACAATAATCAACTTCTCCACTTTTCTAATCAGATATACACATAATGAGTAATGGAAACTGGCGGTATGATGAGCAAAATGTTTTGAAAATAAATTATGCTACATCAGTCTGCTTTTTCTGAAAATCAGAACAACAGACTTAAGCCCTGATCCTGCTTTATAATATCAAGGGTGTTATCAGTCTTGTCCCATAAATCCATTCAAAGCACAGAGCCTACAGATTTTTCTTCAGGGGAAGGTTACAATGACATAGTGTATGCTAGGTCAGGTTATACTTTTGAAGCTGAACTGAAAGGATGAGGCCACATAATTTAAACCTCTTCTGCTTGCCAAGTAATGCTAAGGCAGAGGAGGTCACTGAAGGGGACCTAACCACTCTGGGTAAGCATTCATTGTTACGTGGAAAAGCCAAGTTTTAACAGCAAAATCTTTCCAAGATCTGCACCTCTGTTAGGCACAAAAAGAGAAACATAATTTATTCAAACTGGCTTATTTTCAAGAAACTCCATTGTTTGGAAAAAAAAAAAAAGAAAATTAATATTAATGGGGGAATATTAATGGATGAAAGAATCAGTACTCCTTTCAGCTTTATGAAATATAAAATCACAAAATAATTAAGGTCAGAAGAAACCTCAAAAGATTATCTGTTCCAAGCTTCTGCTGAGAGCAAGTCTTACTGCAAAGTTGGATCTAACTTTGAGGCTAGATGAGATATCTCAGGTTATTATCTACTGGATTTTTGAGTATCTACAGTGATAACCATTCCATCATCTCTTCTAGTGTTTCACCAGCCTAATAAATGAACATTTATTTCCTTGTGTCTGTTGTCTCAGAGAATCATAGAATATCCTGATTTAGAAAGGGCCCACAAAGATCACGGAGTCCAACTGCTGCCTCCACACAGGACCACCCAAAAATCAGACCGTGTGTCTGAGAGTATTGTCCAAATAATTCTTGAACTCTGACAGGTTCAGTGCTGTGACCGCTGCCCTGGGGAGCCTGTCCCAGTGCCTGACCACCCTCTCGGTGAAGAACCTTTTCTTAACACCCAGCCTGACCCTCCCCTGCCATACCTTCATGCCATTATTAATGTCTCATTCTATATCTACAAACCTCCAAAAAGAGTCTGTCTTGTGCATAGTTTCCCACTGTTAGCTGAAAACAGTAACCAGGCTCTCCTTTAGCCTTCTCTTTTTCAACCTCCAAATTCTTTGAGTCCACTCAGTAGAGGACTGGAGCATGTCAGTTTTTTTATAATGTCAGCTTTTTTAAACCTAATCAGCTTTTTCAACCTCCACAGGAGTCCTTTTAGTTTATCAGTGACTTTCTTGTGCTGAAGAGCCCCCAGACTGGACACACAACTGCAGCTACTATATCTTGTGTTCAGAAGAGAGGGAAAAAATTGCTCCCCTCAAACTGCTTCATCAAAATGACAGCACACGTTGCTTGTCCTCTAGGACCTTCAGTCGTTTTCTGCAAAGCTGCTCTCTATCCAGTCATCATGTATCCTATACTGTTGCAAAGTGTTAATCTGTTATCAGTTTCAGGACTTTGCATTTGCCTGTGTTGGACTTCATGTAGTTTCAGTTGGCCCACTTCTCTAGCCTGTTGAGATCTGGATTCATAATTTTGAGAAGAGGTTTAGTGCCTGGTTAACTGCAGAGTCAGTGCTGAAAAAAAATCAGCATATGATCAGTGAACATTAGCGTTAATGTCACCACACTGTAAAATGTGCTAGCCATTTGTCATTGTCCCTCTGATCTCAGACTTCTTCTGCACTTAGACACAGCAGCTGGTTGTGTGTTGCATGGTTTGTCTATCATAAAGTCAAGCAGTGGCATAAGCAAAGCAAATTTATTTTGCATTGCAACAAGACAGAAGCACGAGTCTGATTATTCATCCAGTCTCACCCAAGAGGGTGCAACAGTCAGTCAAGTCACTAACAGCCAATGTTACCTTCTAAAATCACTCTGCAATGACTACATAATAAAGTTTTTCAACAAGATCCCTTGGGAAGCAAAGCAATCCATAAGGATTGATATCCTTAAAAGGAATTAGGAACTGCAAACAGTAGTGCTGAGAAAGAAGCAAAGTTAATCATAATCAAAGATGGAAATATATTGCTTAGCCCATTCATGTGTTCATTCACACGGAGATTTTCTTTATTTTTTCTCCCCCAAAATCGGGGTGAAAATGAGATTCAGAGTCCTAAGTCATCTGTGTATTTTGAACATCATTTAACTCAACAAAAGCAAAAAAAAACATTGATGGAGCTGTGCTGTAATGTTCTGAAGGCAAATGGAAATTGAGATAGAAATGATCATCTGACCATATTTAAAACAGTGGACAACCAGCATAACAGTGAAAAATTCACACTGTCTTGCATGTGGACATCAGACACGAAGGCCCACATAACGAGCCTTTTGCAGGTTTCAAGTATAATCATGTGTGTTTTTTTTCTGGTACCAAATCATCTTTCCAATAAACAAAAATGTTCTATGTCATACAGGCCCCAAGTCTCTGCTACTGCACTAGAATTACATTGGTATTATTCCAGTCAATGCTGTAATGTGGCAAAGAATCAGGCCTTTTTTTTTTTTTTCACCCTCTAAATTAAATCAAGCCTGAACAGGACTGCACTAAATAGCCTGAAAGTGTAGCTCAGTAAAGGACAATAAAAACTCCAAGCATCCAGATGAAATAGATTCAGAGGTTAAAAGCACGGATCTATCATTTGCATCATACTGGGTCAGGCTGCTTTGCACAACAAAGAAGAAGTCATAAAGTTGACAGAACTATTAGCCCCTTTTGGATAGATTACAAAAAACACCATTAGTATGCAAATAAATATTTTCCAGATGCCTTCATGGTGTGAGAAACACTTCACAGTGGGACCACAGGGAGGATATTATTCTTGTCTGGTGCTGAACCACTTTGGGTTAGGGCTTTATGTCACCTGCACAGCTGTTATTTCACCTGTCACAGGTGAGATCTTGGACCAACTTCTGCTTAAGGCTGTAATTCTGCAGCTTTGTTTCAAAACATGATGACCATGCCTGACAGAGATGTTTGATTTCGATAACTAGATATTATTTACCTCCCATTTTTGTGCACTGTACCCTGTACTTTACAGAGCTGGGACTTCAGAATGGCCCAACAAGCTAAAATTACTATAGCTGTGCTGAATAACATGAGGTGCACAATCTCCTAGCAGCAACATAAAGACTCCTGTGCAAGTGATGGAGTAAAATTCAGTATTAGACAAAGCTAAGTTGCGTGTACATCAAAGGATGAGCTGAAGAGTAGTATTTCCCCTCTAAACACCTACACTGGGTGGCACAGAGGTAACTGGGCACAACATTCTCATTATTTCTCTATCTTGTATCAGTAGTGGGATGGGAAGCCAGAAAAGGAAAGCATCGAAGCACTGACCCCTGATACACTAACCTTCATGCCTGAGCCAGCTGAAGTTAGAAACCACTAGCTTCCTACTGCTCTGAACCAGCAGGAGAGGAGGAACAGAAAATGCTAAAGATATGTTTTTCTCCTGACATCATTTCTTTCCACAGTAGTTCACCCACCTCCTTCATGGAGAAAGGGATGTTAAAAAACCCACCCTTTTCATGACTAGTGAACATACCTTTTCAATGTTTTCAGTGAAGAAATTCTGTCTTTGACTATGAATATATAGCTCTTGCCAAAATCAACTAAAGCTCACACATTCCAAAACAGGCTGTAGTCAGCTCTTGAGTGGAAGTTTTACATTTCAAATGAGCGAGTCTGATGCATAAGAATGAGCCAGATTCAGAAGCCTAGACACTGAAGTGCTGTCTGCAGCATACCAGCAGCAACATACGTTTTTCCACTCTGCCCTGCCACATCCCTGATGCTGAGGGGCTGTTGCTACCAGGGAGGTGTAGTTACATTCATTTTCCAAACCACCATCCCTGCTGTTCATACTAAGACAAGGAAGGGTGGCCAGCCTAATGAGTGGTGAGCTGTGGATACCTGGTCTCTTAGAAATAGATAAAAACCACCACTCTGTTCACACAGGCTACTGAACAGCCACCTAATGGTAACGCCTTTCAGCTCGCACAAATCTGAATTCATTATAGTGTCCTGCAGTGAAAATACCCCACATCTCCCTATTAGTACTCTAAGCCCGTTATCTACCTCTAACTTCATCCAAAATTGTATTTTAAACTTGTTTTGGATATTGAATTGGAATGCTGGAAATAAACATGTGTGTCACAACCTAGGTAGTGTATGTTTTATACCTTATTTAATAGTCTGTCACAGTCAACATTATGTTGGTAGGAGCCCTAACACATCTATAGCGACATTTTTAACAGATGGATACTTGTATCCTCAGAAATTCTAAAAAATTCTTGTTGTAGTTATTTTCAGATGTTGGGAAAAAAACAACTTTGCTATATATTACAGTCATGCAAGCATGAGTGGATTTCTCAATATCAAATATAGCTGTACATTAGTACTATGCAAATATTTCAAAATTAACACTTGTTGCACTCATGCTACAGACAAGACAAAATCTTCAAGGTAGATATATAGAGATACATAAATATTAACCATTATTAGAAGTCCATGTAAGTCTCAGCAAGGTAAGTCTTCGAATAAAAAAAGTAATATAGTTAATACTATATTTTCCTGTGTTTAATAATATCATGTAAAAACCTAACCCAATCCTAACTTAAGTTTAGGATTTTCTCATATTTCCCAGGGGAGTATATGGTCTGATTGTAACATCTAAGCCATTGCTTTTTCTTTTTCCTTCTTGTTTTTTTCTCTTCCCACAAAACAGAGACAAAACTGGTTTCCAAGTCAGCATAAATTTCTCCCTAAAGGGACAAGAATTCTTACTCAAAATGTACTTTGTATAAACTTGCTACCTGTGTAACTCGTTGTGCCAAACACTTTATAGATGTATTCATCTTTAAATCAACTTCAGTTGGAATATTTTTAATTGAGTTATATTGAATTAGAACAAATGTTTCAGCTAGGAACAATGCTTCTGCAGAAATACAATAGTATTTGGTCACAGAGGTGAAAAGGCAGCTATAGCTTAGTCTCAGCTTTTGCTGAATAAGTGAAGAATTCTAAGGCAATAAAATAAAATAAAATAAATAAATAAATAAAATAAAATAAAATAAAATAAAATAAACCTCTGTTGGCAAGTTTATTAGATTGACATTGTAAATGTAAACACAGACATTTCATAGACTAAAAACAATGTTATTTCCACACTATAGCCGGAAAGAGCAGCTTTGTTTCCAAAGATCCTTCTGGCATTGTTTGACAACTGACATTTATATGTTTGTAGCAAGAGTGAGGGTGTAGGTTGCCTGTTTAATGAAATACATAGCACCTCCTGATCAGTGAAGCGCCTCTTTTCCTTCTTTTTATTACATGCAGCACCACAACTTCCCAGGGTTGAGAAAGGTGGGGGAAAATGAATGACCGAAGTGGGGAGGAGGAGGGAGGGTGAAATACCTGTTTTCTTGGGCACACCGAATTCTGCAGCCTTCTTTAGGTATCACCAAGCCCAAATGCATCCTTAGCCGACAATTGGTGGGCCCTGTGTGGGGCCATACATGAGTCCCTGGATGCATTACAGAATACTTGATCTGCAAGGAGAGAGAGAGGACGACTTCAACAAAGCCATTTTCACAAGCATACTGCTACACATTTAGGATTTCATTACATCTCATCCACGACGACCAATCAAAAGTGCAATGTCACATTTTGTTAGCCTCAGCAACAATCGCATGATTTTACATCCTGAAGGTGTTTGATACTACAAAAAGGCAAGTCTTGTGGTGTATGTTTGCGTGCACACTTTTAATTTTGTTTAAAATAATCAGAACTGGATGAAATGGAAAGATTTACAGACACACTTATTTAAAAGGATGGACCACAGGAGGCACAAGTCCTGTGTTACCTGGTGTCCCCTCTCATCTTGCCAAAGCGATCGGCTCCAGGACAGATGCATTCTGCAGCGGAGCAGGGGATCGGACAGGCAGGGCTAATTTTTCCGGCATCGAGCCCACTTGAGGGAGCCGCCAGGACCCGGCAGCCCTCGAGAGGGAGGTGAACGAGGTGCAAACAAGGCATAGGCGGAGCCAGCAGCGTTCCCAGCCGTTCAAAAGCTGCCCCTAGGGAGCGCGATGACCAGGACAGGCAAACAGGGCATGGCGCGGCAGAAGGGCATGGCGCGGCAGTTGGCGCAGGCAGGGCGAGCAGGAAGGGCAGAGTGTTCCCCCCGCCCATACGAACACCTCCTCTAACGGCAGTCTACCGCTAGCTCAGCTGCAGTGGTGTACACCAGGCACAGTGCTCTCTCTAGGAAGTCTGTACACACCCAGACCGACTGCCCGCTCAAAACTGCGGCAGTTCAGGTCTCCGGGTGCAGGGAGTGCCTGAGCCTGTTGCTACCACCTGCGGGGGGCAAAGAGACTGCGTGCATGAGGTGCGAGCAGGTGGACGACTTGGTCCGCCTCGTGGCAAGACTCAAGGAGGAGGTTGAGGGATATCAGGGAGTGTGAGCGGGAGATAGACTTGTGGAGCAAATCCCTGCATGGCTTGAAGGACAGGTACCAGGGTGAGACACCCCAAACGGGGGTGTACCCCCTGCCCTGTTGCTGTCAGGCAGAGGGAGGGGACCTAGGAGTTGAGGAGGAATGGAGACAGGTCCCTGCTCGACATCGCAGGCGATGCTCCCCCCCCCCCCCCACCAGCCCCACCTTCCCAGGTGCCCTTACGCAACAGGTTTGAGGCCCTGGTGCTTGAGAGACCTGTACCTGAGAAAGAGGCAGAAAGTCTACCCAGGAGGATGCCTAGGGCGAGGAAGTCCACGCCTCAGGACTGCCTCCACCAGGACAGAAAGAAGGGTGATTGTTGTGGGCAGCTCCCTTCTCAGGGGAACAGAGGGACCTATTTGTTGGCCTGACCCTACCCATAGGGAAGTCTGCTGCCTCCCTGGGGCCAGGGTCAGGGACATTGCCAGAAAGCTTCCCAACCTGGTTCACCCCTCTGACTATTATCCTCTTTTAATAGTCCAGGCTGGCAGTGATGACATTGAAGAGAGAAACATGAAGACCATCAAATGGGACTTTAGGGGACTGTGACAGTTAGTGGATGGAGCGGGAGCACAGGTGGTGTTTTCATCTATCTGTATGGTGGCAGGGAGGGGTACAGAGAGGACATGGAAAGCCCACCTGATAAACACGTGGCTCAGAGGCTGGTGCCAACATAGAAATTTTGTTGTTTTTTTTTTTGACCATGGGGCGCTTTACTTGGCACCTGGCCTGATGGCCTCAGACAGGTCCCTATCTCTAAAGGGAAAACGGATCCTAGGCCAGGAGCTGGCGGGGTTCATTGAGAAGGCTTTAAACTAGGTAAGAAAGGGGACGGGGCCAAAACAAGGCTTGTTAGAGTTGTGCCGGGGGAACAATGGCAAGACAGGGAGAGAAGGCAATGGCCCAACTAAAGTGCATCTACACTAACGCACGCAGCATGGGTAACAAACAGGAGGAGCTAGAAGCCATCATGTGGCAGGCAGGCTACGACTTGGTTGCCATCACGGAAATGTGGTGGGACCACTCTCATGACTGGAGTGCTGCAATGAGGCTTTTTTGCCTCAGTCTTTACTGGTAAGACTGACCTTTGGAAATCCCAGGCACCTGAGAACAGCAAAGAAGCCTGGAGCAAAGACTTACCCACAGGTTAGGAAACATTTAGACAAACTCAACAAATTGTTCCATTGACCTTGATGGGTTTTACTCAGGAGTGGTAAAGGAGCTTACTGATGTCATGAGTCCACAGACAGTCTCGAAATGTCAGGCAACCAGGTTAGGTTCCTGAGGACTGGAAGAAAGCAAACGTTGTTCCTGTCTTCAAGGCAGAAAACAAGGACGATCTGAAGAACTACAGGGCAGTCGGTTTCATCTCAGTGACAGTAAATAATCCTGGAAGCAGTTTCCAAACACTTGGAGGAAAAGAAGGTGATTGGGAGCAGTCAGCATGAATTTATGAATGGGAAACCATGCTTAACGAGCTTTCTACAGTGAGTTGCCTAGCTTGATGGATGAGGGGAAAATTGGTGGGTATTGTTTATTTCAACTTTAGTAAGGCTTTTGACACTGTCTGTAGAATAACATCCTCGCCGACAAACTGATGAAGTAGAAACTAGGTAAGCTGACAGTGAAGGGGATGGAAAACTGGCAGTTCAGCCAGGTTCAAGGATTTGTGATCAAAACACAAATTCCAACTAACCAGAGGTATACCCCAAGGCTCAATACAGGGTCCAACACTGTTTAATAGTTTCACTAATGACCTGGATGATGGAACAGAGTACATCCCTTGGCAAGGACAGAAAATTGAGGAGAAAGGGTTGATAAACCAAATGTTTTTTGCTGCCATTCATTGGGACCTTGACAAGACGGAAAAAGGAGCAAACAGGAATCTCATGATATTCAACAAAGAGAAATGAAAACTCATTGGGGAAGAGTAACCCCATGCAGTACTACAAGCTATAGAACTGCCCGGAAAACAACTGCACAGAAAAAGAGTTCAGGGTCCTTGCAGAGAACAGTTTGGACTGTGATTCTACAACCCAATGAACAAGAAGGATGAATATCGCATGACAGTGGTGAGAAGCACCTTTTCAACTGAGAAATCTGCATTTCAGGATAGGACAAGGTAGCTTTGATAAATCTTGCATTTTAAGACTGTTTCTAGCTCTCCAACAAAATGAGCATAAGAGAACTGTATATCTAATGTCTTAGCTGTTCCCACCATCTGAGGTTTCATCTTACCAGCAATTCCTTATAAAAGCAAGTGATAAGCTCCAGTGGCTGTGGTGAACACAGATGCTCTATTCTGTTGCCTCTGCTACAGTGAGATACATTAGCTTGATTGCCCTGTCAGACCCTGAAGCAACCCAAATAACTGGTACTGCTGGCTATGCAGAAAAGTTATTCATACCCCACAGAAAATACTTTTATAACCCTAATAATATGTGCAATGTGGAATGGATTACTGCCATGTATGCTATCTACCCATGCAGATCAGTCTAGAAACTTCTATGAGTCTCACATACATGTATGTGCTGTATTCAAGTACAATACAAATATTTAAATATTCCTGAATCACAGACAGGTTATACTACGGTTGTAAAGTAAAACTCTGACAAGTTTTACCCTGGCATATTGGAACGACAAAAAAGATGAAGAAAACAGTAACTCTCCTCTCTGGCATAGATCCATTTTCAGCTGTGGTGCGTCAGTTTTCTTGGAGTTAGCCATACTGACTGTGATGACATCTTAAGTCACTTAAGACTAGGTTTAGGTAAGTTATTACTATCAGTTGACCCATGGTAAATAACTACTTACCCAACATGAGCTCCCTGTGATCACAAGGGAAAATGGTTTTACTAAAAATTCCATAGAAGTGCTTCAGCTAATATATTTTATCTCATATTTGCTGAAGGCTATTACAGTATCAACTTCATTGTGTGTCTGAGCCATCATTGAATATATCAAGGTCATACATTCCTCTGTACACATTTCTTAACATCACCTTTTCACAGCTTTAGGGATTTGCAAAAATGAAGAAGTTTGGCAGGTACCTGCCCTCTTCGGCAGCCTGTAGCTTCTGGGAATCTTTCCAACAAAGCACACGTTTTCGGAACACCTTTGCAAGCATTCTCGTTTTTTCTTCCTGGTGAAAATAAGAGATTGAGCATTCATAAGTGCAATGAACAAACAGTCCCTTGTATTCTACATTGCAGAACAGCAACAAAGCTGTCAAAGAGCTGACACCAAAAGAGGTAAATAATATCATACACATTTTACAAATTATGCAACAGCAAGTGCTTACATATTGTAATATCAAAGTAGCCTGCCACTTCTTTGCTTTTGAATTATTTGTGAGAAGCAGGCTTTCTACCATTTTAAACATGATTCTAAAAATATGATTATACTTTTATTAATGATTAAGTAGATCATTAAAGTATAATCATTAAAAAGACAAAAAATGCCACCAATATGATACCATTTCAACATCTGATTATATTTTTATACACCTTGGCTTTTAATATTTTATCTTACAGCACTCTTTCACATGTAAAGTCTTTTAAGAAGTTCAGGTCACTCTAGTAATTGAGTCTCCCACTGCAAAGCTCAGAGACAGAACAGCAGGCTTATTAAAGCTCACATTCTATTTGCCCATACCATTTCTGAATGATGGATCTCACCTAGCTGGCAACACAATATTGAGAATATTTCTTCTCCTGCTTTCCTGTCTTCCCTCAGGCTGATCTGCACATGCATTACCATGCAAAATTTTGGCAACCTTGCCAGGAAATGAGTATTACCCTCAAGGGATTCTTAGAAATGCTCATGGGCTACATGGTTTAGAATAAAGAATTCCTGTTCACTGTTGTTGGGGTCTCAGACACTATTTTATCAGATCATTTCTTCTGCAGACTTGAATAACAGGTACAGTGATTAAAAAAAACTATTCCAGAAAAACTGTGTTGATACTCCTTATTATGCTATATTAATGTGAGAAAGTGAAACTGGGGTTAAGTGGAGAAAGAGAAATACAAAATGTTTTACCTTGTTGCCATAAAGTAAACTGACTCCAGTCTCCCTTTTCTCGCAGATTCTCATCCTCGGGCAAGAAGAGGCTTTGTTTCTTATCCATCACAGCAAGACCCTCATCCCGAATAAGCTTCCAATTTTTTTCTAAGGACTGTTGTGAGAGCCATGTTAGTTTACTGAGAACTTACTGAATTTTGCTTTAGTATCTTATTTTTTTTCCCTGCCATTAACTTTTTTTTTATTTAAAAGTACTTAAAAAAAAAAAAAAGAAGAGTGCATCATTATCAAGTTTCCTTATGTCAATTCCCTTATGACAAGTTAAGGCAGGAAAACCAACTTTCGCAGTATTCTTCAGATTCAGTTACAACTGTATTGTAAAATTTCAGTAATCCCCAGCCTCTTGCAGATTAGGCCTCACTTTAACTTGCTTTTTGATTAGCCTAAGGGCTCTTTAACAGATAATTTTATGTTGCAAGCTAAGAAGAGTATTGATCTTCTTAAACGCAGCACATGCTACCTGGAAGCACTCTTGAGACTAGAAAACCACTCACATAACCTGAAACTCCAAGTGTTGACAGAACATCCTAGTTCAAAGAGGACAAATGCAAACATGCTACTCAAGTTGACAGTTATGATTTAAACCTTCAGAAAGGTTTGCAAAGATTCTCTTGCACATTCTGATGCTATTGGAAGAGATCAAATACGACTTGAAATGCCAAGTGACAATTTATGGATACAACCATTAAAAATGTGTAAGCTGCCGTGTACTTCATACATACCAAACCCACAAGACTGTAGAGTTAAGATTTTTGTTCTTTGCTGCCTTAGGACATTCTACTTGTAGAAATCTGGTGAATTAGAAACCTTGTATTCTACCAGTAATAAGTCATCTTAATGTTACAGGAAGATAAATGAAAAACCCACTGTGTAACAATGGATCTGGATAATAATGATGTGACTTCCATTTCCCAGCTGCTTATGTTACTCACTAAACCTTATTTTTGGTGAATAGTTTTCATTTTTCCTTTGTGCTCTTGAACAAAGCATTTCTGTAAGACATTTTCAATCAATTTGAAACTGGAAATAGGCTAAGGTGTGTTCCCACATCGCTTCTTTGTATGATGTGTAAAGATGAGTAAAACTCCGAAATCTTTGTAACACAGGTCACACAAGGTAATATGACTGCCCCTTTTCAGCCATATGGTTATTAGCTTTCACCACTTAAACTAAACAGTTGCATTTTCCACTTCAGTTTCTTTCAATTAAAAGACAAGCTGATCCTGCAAAGTAGGTGGTACATTGATATATCATAAAAGGTTCTGGAAACAGCCACATAATACAGTGACCATCTCCCAGTACAGCAAGCCTACAAACGCTAAGATCTATCAAAATTAGGATTGTGCTAGTATTATTTCAGTACTCTTTTTCTTCCTAGCTAATTGCGTTCTCTCATCCCTCAGCAAAGGGGAAAACAACTCTTTGTTTTTCCTACTTCATTCACCCTCTTCTCTCCCATTGATGGGCTTCCTTAACACTCCTTAACAATTAACATTAAGTAGAAACATTTTCAAAAATATCTTCCTAAAACTGATTTTTTTTTTTTTCCTGAAATGCAGGGTACAAAACAGACTGAAATTTTCCATCTAATCAGAGATGAACAGGGGAACAGAGCTGGTACTGATTCAGCACTATCATTTCTACACAAGGAAATACCAGCTTGCATACCTGAATTTGTACTGGCTGCAGATGAGAAAGAAATGAAAAACTTGCATTTATATAGGTTTCAATTTAAAGTGATACAGATCAACAAAATTGGAAAACTTTGAAAGACATTACAAGTGCTTCTCTGTTTCCTCAAACTCCTAACCCTTCTTCTGAAAAATAAAAAGGTAAGAAGGAGCTTTCACCCACACAGACAAGAAGATGCATGAAGAGCACTAGTGGTGCACAGAGATTCACATAATGGCAGCTTTGTCACCTCTGATTTTCCTCAAGTGACAGGCTGAAAGTCAACCTGCAAAGTTGTGTGTTTGCCTTTTAAAGCTCCTTCCCTAGTACATTGGATACAAAGCAATTTGAATACGTATCATTGATTTTGAGCCAGCTCTTAAACGGTATTAGATATAACTGCCACTGAAATCAATAATGTCTCTGTACTTGTGAGAAACTGGACCCCCCATCTGTAACACTATGCGTTACTATGAGCCATAGGCAACTCCTATGTAGAAAGGAAGGGGAGAGTTACAGGAGTTGAAACACAGCTCAGCCTTGATATCCCTGATTTTACAGAATCTTAGGCCAATGCTGAAGGGCAAGAATGGATAAAACCATTAAAACACAGTGGCTAAGTCCAGGATGTGGACTTCAGGCTACAGAACCAAGAGCTAGCATCTACAGAAAAAAAAGCTAAATATGCTCATGCTGCATAATATGTAGGGATGCAAGCCTCAGGCTGCAACAGATTCGTATTGTGTTTGGTGCAATATCTTGATTTCAAATGAAGAATCAGGTGGCAAACAGCACTTGGAGCATATGTACTTGTTTCCTACCAGCTGATTCCCATAAACCTCCATATGGCTTTTTAAACACAGTTCCTAACAATAATGTAAGTTTACAGTTAATTTACATCTGGTCATAGTGTAGATTTTATTGGCAAAGAAATTATTGTATTTAAATAGGGATTTCTTAATATTGGTTTATTTTTATGTGTGACTGTATTATATTAAAAAATCCTTATTCTGCGCTGTCAAACCCTTTTCAAGGTATGGTCATAAATGCCACAGACAGAGATTAAGAGTTTACTACTCCTCATGTGAGGCATAACTACTGACCACATGTGCATTTCAATCCACTGGGCTATAAAATAAAATCGTGGTGGTGTCTCCACTCCATTTCACTTTGTTACCCATACAGAATAAGAAAGTATTCATGATAGTTACGGTGTGTTAGCTGGGGACCTCCAACACCTCTGGGCAAGGGTCAGTATTTAAAGCCATCCAAAACACAGTCCTTGCACTAATCTGGTCACTCACAGTGCTTAATCGTCAGGATGCATAAGCATTATCTCTGCTCTTTTAGGCTTCCTTAAGGCATCCAGCCACACTTTAAATGCACAGTTTAGTTAATTTTTGCCATCAAATATGAACATTTAGATTTTAGTAGCCAAACAATTGAGCCTCAGCTGTCAGTCTACAGAAAACATTAAGGATTCTGCTGTTGCCAGTACTTTCATTCTCTTTCTGTGCTTTTCTTGCTGCACTTGAAATTTTTAACTAATAAAATATAAACAATCAATGAAAATTGATGGCATAAGATCTACTTTAATCAATAAGCTATTCACTGTAGTATGCTGTTGGCAAAGCATCCTCTGGGTCATTTCCAAAACCAAAAGACACAACAAAAAGAAAGGACAAATTTACCTAGGTCATTTCCTATGCATTTCAGCCTGGTGAAAAGTGTCTAGGGTCCAACAGCATTGTACCGCTTTTATTTATTCATTTATTAACTGAGTACCAGAATACAAAAGAGTGCTCTACCAAGGTTCCATAAAAGATACCAGAGATGATGCAATGACTTTGTAACACTTGCAGAAGAAAGCTAATTGCCCCAAGGGAGGAGGATAGGTTTTCTAAGGTATAAGCCAGGTTTCCTTTTAGCTGAGCTAAAGAGTTTCTGGACTCTCCAAAGTCCTGAACTACCATAGATCAGAAAATTAGCAGAACATTTCTACATAAATCACTTGATACATTTTCTTATTTAAAGGTTTATAGTTTCTGTTCCCTGAGAAATCAGGCCCTCCTTCCTATTCTTTCAAGGAAACTACAAAAATAACATAATAACACGACACACAAAAAAAAATTAAGCATTAACGGGCAGCTAGAGAGATCTACTGCTGCCAGCATAGTAGCACTAACCAGGATTTACCACCATCATACACCTCCTTTTAAGTGTTATTGAGACATTCTCATTCTTTATAACATAATCAAGCCAGGTCTGTGCTCTAACATTACTGACTACAGCTGTGCTGGTGAACAGAACGAGCAAAGACAGAGGTGTCAGAGGATGGCAGAGAACCTTTAGCATTGCCTCAGCTAGCCACAAGTAAATCCTCCATTATCATTGTTAAGCTACTGAGACACTGAAAGGAGTTTATTCATATTCAACAACAAATTGTGAAATACAGGGAGAGAGGGTCCAGGCCTCCAATGCTTTGAACTTCATGAAGAAATTTTCAGTATCAACTTCCATCATTTGGATTTGGAAGCATTTCCCACGCTTTCTGCACGAATGGAAGAGGAATGTAAAGAGATGAAGTAGCAAGGAATAATTGCTGGTTATTTTTTGCTGTGTGGAACGTAGAATTTTTATTTTTCTTTCTTAATAACTAAAGCACATGCAGAAGCTTGAATGTTTCAGAAATCAATAAAACAAATGTCTTCAAAGCTTTTTTCTACTTTGTGTAGAATGCTACTTCAAATTTGCACTTGCAAGTGTTTATCGGTGTTAGAATTGAGCCTGCTCTCCTGCACAAATTCAAGTACTTTTTGAGTTATGGGGGAAACACAACAATGCAAATATATATCTATTTTTCTGGTAACTTAACAGTTTGGATTTATACTTTCAACTTTGAAAGGCATCTTGAAGAATTGCCTCCCCCAAACTGAGATACATAAGTAAATAAATCAGCAGTCAGACTTGATGACCTTACTAATAAAACACATAAAAATTACCACAAAAACTCTTAGTACAACAGAGTAAAGAAGCTTCAAACACAGCAGTTCCAGTTATATTTTTCAAATTCTTATTTTGGTATATTGAATAACAAACACTAAAGCAGCACCTATGAGAGGCAGGAGGCAGTTGTGCTTTGGAGATCAGGGTGAACTTCTAACTAACTGTGTGGTTCATCTAAAATGTTCTTCTAGGAGACGTGCAGAATACTGATCCAAACGAAGTCCTCTACAAATGATCCCACATATGTGAAAAAATTATTTCAAGGTGGATCCCTGGCCATTTTATAATAGGAAATTCATTTTTTTCATCCTTCAAAGCTGACTGTCCCTTCCCACCAATAGCACACACCTTTACCTATGTGATATAGAAATTTGGATGGTCTACATGTAAGAGACACTAAAACATCACTGCAGACACCTTTAAAACATTATTGATATGATATGCATTCTTTTCCTTTTGTTTGGCAACAGTACAAGAGGCTCCAAGTCCCTCCACCTCCTTTATGTCAGGAAGTATCTATTTTTACACATACCTCATGAATGAGTCGAACACATGCACGTTTCAAATTTTGCCACATGCTACTCTACAAAGCTTTTCCCCCCCCCCCCCAAGAGTGAGATTACAGTTGAGTGATTACTCTTTAATCTAAGTTTCCTAACCTTACTTACACTGCCATCACCATAACCAGGAGGAAACCTTTTTAATTTCTTTAAAAATTATAATTCTTTCACAGCAGGTTTCTAACATGTTATGTAACGAAGCATAATGAAACAAGTTTCACTGAGTGAAACTGTCTCGTCAAACAAGCATTTATGTTTTTAAATTATTTGTGCAGAAGAATTTTGCTAAACCACGTTAATATTCAAAGCATATGCAAAATGGGTACCTCTTCCCCCTTTTAAAAATTATTACTGTTATTATTATTTTAGAATTATGAAAAATTTGCTCAAGTGTTTATAGTTATAAAAATACGAAATTTTGAAAATATAAATTATTACTATGAATAGTAAATAAACTATATGTTTTGTATCAATTAGAATTTTAGTTCATTAAAGTTTTTTTTATGCCATTATCTTTTACTGAATCCATCACTGGGAGACAAGTTTACACTTGTTTATTTTATGCAATTAAGAGATCCCAAAGAAATCACCAAGTATTATATAAGGGACAGAGAACACAGATTTTTCTAAGTAAAAAATTCACAATGGTTGTCCCAGCCATTAGCAGTTTGACCTTATTTTGCATTTAAAACATTGCAGTAGTCTACCATGAAAATTTTGTATTTAGTAAACGTCCCATCATCAATTATTAAAACATCTAAGCTCACTTCATAGTATCTTAGTTAAAACTAGCACTCAATTCTAGACTGGTGTCCAGTACTCACAGGCAACAATTCAGATCTTATGAGTATTTTTTCTGCTTTGCACCTTAGATTACAGTTGTTATTAAAGAAAATAAATTGAAGTAAACAGAAACAAACTCCCTTACCTTCACCAGTTCTGTATAACCTGTTTCCTTCGCTGTCCACCAAGGCTGAGCTTTCAGTCCCTTAACATTGTAGAGGGAGCGCTGCCAGACTGATGCAAAATGACCTCTTTGATATCCAAGTTCATACCACTTGTATGCCTAGGAGATTGCATTTATTATCAAACAAATTCATATCAGCTGTTAACATACCATAGAAAAACTTAAGCTCCTTTGGTAATAGGCTATCTGTTTGGATGCTGGAGATATTCTTCTAATGTACAATAATAATAATTTCCTTTAAGGGTGAAAAAAATGAAAATCAACAATCCTAAAATACATCAAAGTCAGCCACAGCTATTTAGTTCAACATTAGCAAAACAGGATAATCTCACAGTCATTCACACTAAATATTGGTCAGTAACCTAGGCGTTCTCCTTGGACTTGGGAGATACAATTGTTTGTCTTCTTGGTCAGCCCTGATTTCTCTATGCTTCACTTTTACCTATGAATTAAAGATTTAATTTAATAATTTAATAAAAAATAAATGGCTTCCTTCTACTACCAACAGGGATGTTGTGGCGATGAAAACAATGCTGACTTTGTTACATGATTACATATATACTTCTGAGTTTTCTTTAAATACTTGTTCTCACACCAGAACTGAGCTGATGCTACTCATTTTGCTTATTTCCCCCTTATTTCATGTAGTAAAAGAGTACTGACGCTCAATGCCAGGCCTTAGTTCATCTTACTCTCCCTTTCCACAACTTGCTTTACCATTCAATACCAGCTGCAAAAGGAGGTTCTGCAAAGAAAGCAAATAAGATGCTTGGAAAGAAGAGGTCAAACAAGAGTAACTCTGGTCCATGAACAGAGGAAGCTACAAATATCTCCTTCCTGTCCAGCATTGCCTTTTTTTAAAGAAGAAAAAAAAAAGAAGGCAATGCAAAAATAAAAATGATAAAAAAAACTATATGCCAGGTCAGCTAAGCAGGGAGATAGGAGGACAAGAAATTCAAAACAGAAGGAGAGAAGCAGGCAGCAATCTCCATTCTAAACAGAAATCATTCAAAAACCTTATTACCTGGAATCGTCCGGAGTCCCTCTCTAGCTATACAACTTGAAATTCACACCTTCCCTTTCCAAATCTCCTTCAGCAAAGTGTCACACATCCAAACTCAGACCAAGCTCTCCTACTTCTTCACCTAATCTGATATTTATTGTCTCACTCCACATTAGACAGCCTATAATATCAACCTTGTACTTCCAGTTCGTACTCTCCTACACATTATTATTCTTTCCCTGGCTGTACCCAAGTTCTCAAAATAAAACAAAAACGATAAACAAACAAAACACACACGCACAAAACCAAACTCTACACTTTTCGTTCCAACAGGAACTTGCAAATCTGGACTAAACAACTGAAAAACATTATCCCCAACAGTCCTCCTGTATGGTAGTTTCACTGCATGACTACTTATTCCTTGCATTTCAGAGTCCCTTCTCCTATTCTAATTCAAGGGCAAATGCCAGTTGCCCATTCATCTGCCCACATTGATGCAAAGGCTAAAAAACTATTAAAGGCTTTCTGAAGCAAAAAGCACAATACTAACTTTTAAGAAGAATCACCTCATGTATGTGTGTTAATGGAAAGTAAAATGTACAAACAAATAAGCCTATTCTAGGAGAAGACATTCATATCTGCATATTATTTATGCCCACCTTGAAGCCAGTAAAGTAGAAGTAAAACCAAAATATTTTTTAGATACAAGCTGTCGTGAGAACCCTGTGTCTTACTATGACTTACTTAGTATTTACATACCATAAAGTAAACAAAAACTACTGAAAATTCTTCCTATAACGGATTATTTCTAAAAAAAACTCAAGTGTCATCTTATACATTTACCTATAGATCTTTTCTTTCGGATAAAAGGTAAGAAATAAATTAGGGCATTTTTGTTTTCAAATATTTGTATAACCTTTTATGCTGTTACCATAGATCTCTTTTTGAGAGTCTAAATTTTCTTCAAGCTTTCAAAAAATGGGGGACTCTAATATTTATGACTCTATCGAAGTATGAAGGAAAGGTTGCAGTAGAATGTTGTTTTACTCTATTTATCTGAAGTAAGGAAAAGCACCATGGATAAACAGAATAACAGCAGACAATATAGAAGCTTTCATCTTTTTCTCTGAATAAGCTTCTTAAAACGTATTGGTCAAAAAAAATACATATTACCTTTGAGTAATACACAGTATATCTATAAAGCCTGATCTTATCTTGGTTAAGCCTCTGAAATGGAAGCATTATTATTTATATAGTGTACGTTCCTCAAGACATAAGTTGTAATAGCAATAGGGTAACAATAGATTGTTCATGCTCACTGTATGAATTTATTTGCTGTGTTTGGAGTTAGCTCAAAAGAGAAGGGGGGTGAATTGCTTGTTTCAGCCACTGACAGATAAGTATGAATGTTGCTGTTCTTTAAGATCCATCAGCTATAATCATTATATATAATATTCTTAATCCTTATTTATTTGAAGAATTGTTCTATGAGATTGCCTTTGACAGCATGGGGTACGATTATCCCACTCGTCCTTTCCAGTCCTGAGTTTCCATAAAAGAATCTTTCTCTTCACATGCAGATCTTGGCAGTGGAAAAGACTAAATAATGACCACTGTCCTGTACAAGAGTATATCTTCTCTGCCAGGAAATAAATTTTCTGATAAGCATTCAATTCATACATTCTCTGTGAACAACACTTCGTTCTGCAATACCTTCTACAACGTATTTTGTTGTTTTAATCAATTTGGCACTTGACCAAATTATAGCTGGAAAGATTATATACTCAATGCTGTTTCCCTACAACTTACCAAGACCACATTCATAAGTCCTAATTTAGCTCTAATAGATGAATGTTTACCTTCAGCAAACCTTCAGTGATAGCAATTTTACATGTTGCTTAAATATCGATTGGTCTCCTTGATTAAATCTTGAAGTTCAGTAAGTCTACGAAGGTCAGTTAAAAAAATACAAAGTAAAGTTTCAACTTTCCACAGATAAATTGAGCAGTCTCTGCTATACCAAGAAGTTCATTTGCCATTGATTAAAGCTTCTTCTACAGAAGATGTGACCATTAAGTCCATAAGCATTAACACATAATTATCCCAGGGATTGGGCTGATGTATGTTAATTACAATCTGTGTGGTATCTTTAGTCAAATTTTGTAATGGGATGCTCTAGGCTTAATCATTCAACCCAGAATATGCTATGGAAGTATTAAGGGATTTCCTTTTTGGTTTTCTGTTAAGAGAAGGACAGACAATGATTCAGGGTGGGGTAGGGGTGAAGGGGAGAAAGACAGACAGGTAAAGCAGACTGTGTTTGTGTAAAAAAAAAAAAAAAAAAAAAGTAAAATGAGGCCACCTTATTCTCACTTGAAAAATAACTTTTAAAATCAAAAAACTTCACTGGAAGAATATTTTACTGTAATTTCAAAGAAGGTGATTTAACTTAGAATTCAGATATTTCTCCATTTCAATATTCTAGACATATAATCTGTTTAAAGTGTAATAAAAGTTCCACATTCTATATATATGAAAATAATTTGATAAACTAGGCTCAAGAAAGAACACATGCATAGGCTTTATGAAAGTTCCTTTGTCTGATTTGATATTGGAGAACTGCCTGTTTACTGGTCCAAGACACTAGGTGACCCTGCTTGAGATGGGTGTTGGGACTAAACGATCTCAGGAAGTCCCTTCAAACCTCAACTGTTCTGTGATTCTGTAAAGCGGTCAGCATTCTTTACAGTATTTTACCTACAAGTATTTCAGATGTAGTACCAGAAAACAAGTTGAGCAACAATTTTCATATCTCTTTCCACTATACATTTTTATTCTTTTCACGTTTTTCATCTGTGCACAAGGGTGTTTTTTTGTTGTTGTTTTGTTAAATGTTATTAAATTTTATTAAATTAATTTTAATTAAATTTTATTAAATTAAATTTAATAAATTTTGTTAATTTTATTAAATTTTATTAAATTCATGCCCATAGTGTAGCTCATTACCAGCAACAGTTTCTTGCTTCTCGACTATAACAGCAGAACTATTTCACACGTTCAAACTTGGCTTTCCTCAATTAATAAATTAGAAAAGCTTATGGTTTCCAGTAGCATGTGTTTGTATTGGGCAAAAGATCTGCTGAACAAATTTCTACTTTTCTGATCAGTTTACGGATTCAATGTTTGCACAAGTCCATTAACTCAGCCCACACATTCAGTCCTTCTATGGTCTTTTTGTATCACAGACATTGGTGCTCATGATCACTTTGGGAAAAAGAGAATGTTTGAAGAACACTTATCAGAGTTAGGAGAGAAATTCTATGTAGTGACATATTTAAGTCACTGCATTTTGACTCCAGTGGAAAAATCTTTGTCAAAAAGTGGTAGGAGCATAAAACAGACTGTAAAAATTCATTCAGTGAATTTCTGTTTTGTGTGTGTGTATTTCTCCATCCCTTGGTACCAACAACTCCATGTAAACCTCAATAGTTTTGGTTAATTCTATGGAAAAATAAGGGATGCTAAGAGATTGTGTCATCATGCAAATGGAAGGTTTTATTGTTGCTGGTGGTGGTTTGCTGTTTCGCTGTTGCTTATCTTGACCTCTACACACACACGCTGGATTGTTATTTCAAAGGGACTATTGACTTTTTGACATTGGGCCCATGCTCAAAAGTTTTTCTGGATTCTGCAGTCCACCAGAAATTTAGACTTATTAAGACCATATTAAATGTGTACCTCTTTGTCTCCTATTCTCTGCAAGGCATCTCCCAGATGAAAGTAAAAACGTCCATCATCTGTGCCAGGGTCACCAGACTCCAGTCCTTCCTAAAATAATAATAATAAACTAATAGTAACAATTGTAATAATACATATGTAAAAGAATACGTTTAAAAGAATTTTAATAGGACTTCCAACAGTGTTTACTTGGTCACCATATACAGTTTATCAACTCTATGCAAGAGACAGGCTGTGAAATTGGCTATAAAATATAACTACCATGGTAACTAGGAACTTAGGTTGAATGGATACAACATACGAGTAAAAAGCCACTGAGAAATTCTATCAGTTTGCCAAATCCCCCATTCACTCCAAGACAGAGGTGTATTCAAAGACTGATACTTGCCCCCAGACATATACACAAGCATTTTAGAAACATTGGATATTTTAAATTAAGCTTTTATTTGTAGTACTTCTCTCCAAACACTCAAACATATACATGCCCTCTCTAGATCTTTCAAGAACCTTAACTTTACAGCATACTGCTAGCCTCAAAAGAATTTGAGAATCATAGTTGTGTGCTTCAGGTTATCTGACTAATAAAACAGTTACTTGATATTTATGAATTGAAAAATATCAGTATTCAAGTTTGTTCCAATTTGTTGGCAGTGATAGAGCAATACAACACCAATGCTTAGCTTAAACTGCAATTTGTAATTAGAATGCTTCTAGCTTGGCACATTTTATACATTCTGATTATGTTTTTCTGCTGGTAAAAGATCTACTTTAAATGAGGGAAGAAAAATACCTTTAGATAGGGTATGCTCTCTGCTATCTTGTTTTCTGCCTTCAGGATGAAGCCATAATGTACTTTGGCAAAGCCATCATTTGGAGCCAGTCGTAGAACCTGTTTGAGTGCAAATTAATTAAATACTCATGTAAGAATCTATAAAAATTAACAAACCTGCGTACATACTACTATTTAGTGATGCAGTGAAATTTGCTTCCACACTGACACTCGGATAAATTATTAACTTGCCTGTACTTCTACTTTTCCGCTTATGTCTTTCTCCAGAATAACCTATTACAAGACAAACTTTGAAGTCTCATAAATAAAATTATTCCAACTGGAACCTCTGAATTGTATTATTTTCTTCTTGTCCCTACTTCTCTACCTCCTCTCTGAAGTTAGAACATACTAAGTTACAGAATTAACACCATTAATTAACATTTAGATCCCAGGTTTGCCCAATGTAAAAGAAGGCAGTTGCTCTTTGAACACGTCTACAGCACATTCATTGGAAGCATAGTGTAGCAACATACCTGAAATAGTTTAAAATTAGACAGGGTTATGTTGGTGGCAAACTAGTCTTGGCAACAGAGAATACATGATGCTGAGAAGCACAGTAGCTACTATTTAGAAACACACTGTGAAATAATGCTTGTATCGCGAGATGTGACTGTACAGACCCTGGGAATGTAAAGACCATTCTCAGCATGACAGTAAACTGAATCACTCTTTTGGAAGAGCTTAAATTTTCTTGGTCAAGACAAAACTATCAGAAGGTAATGTAAGGACGAATAGGGTACCTCAAGTGATTCAGTGTACTTTCACTTTTCCAGAAGGTGATGGGTAAATTATTCTTCTATAGTTGTGTGCTGCATTCTTTGACTAACGCTTACTGCGTTCAGTTAAGCTAAAAGATTTTGCACCCTGAATGTCTAGTTCAACATTTAGATAACATCTGAGATACAAACTAAATTAGATAACTTTGCAGAAAAGGCAAACCCATGAGCAAATAAGAAATCTGATGTTAGTTAGGCACAGATGGGAATTTCACGGAGACTGTGTAAAAGAAAGATTTCTGAGTACAGGGAAAGCTGTAGGAAAGGATCGCTGTATGGGGGTGTGTTTCAGGGAAAGGAAGTGTGTAGCTGGCTGGACTGAGTTCTGAAACATACTCCCAACAGTAACAGGATAATTTAAGTTCACCTGGTCTGCCTCAACCAAGGGGGAAATTACAGAATGTCTTGATCTACTTTCCAGCTCGACATTTTTATGGTGTGTGTGTGTATGTGTGTGTGTGTGTGTGTATATATATACACATATATATATGTGTATATATATATATATAAAACATATATACATATTCAGTATAATTTGTAGCTCCATGTGATGTCAATTACATGGTCAAGATCTGTTCCTAAACCTTCTCTCTCCTCAAAATAAGGATGGACAGTTTAATCAGGAGAGATCTTCAATTTGTGGGGATCAGCACAAGTGCCTGGGAACCAGTGGAGGTCATTCAGGGGCTGATACCTGCTGAGTGTCTAGCACAGCTACTAAATAAAAAACAAGGGACAGGAGCAATTTTTCCTGTCTAAATTCATTTCTGAAGCTACCAAACTTATGCCATGCATAAAATGTCTGCATACATTACAGCCATTTCCCTCTGCCTTTTCTAGTCACTGTCTAACCTAATTCTTCAATCAAAATAATTACAAGCAAACCCATAACAAGTCCTCTGGGCAAAATTCTCTGCTTTCTCAAACCTTATTACACACAGACTACATCTGAGCAAAAACAAGATCATCGCTATGTCAGTATAAATGCTGTGAGTTAAAAATAGCAGTATTTCACTTCCCCCCCTGAAAATAAGCTACTATGAAGGAACAATCATATTGAGAATCTGAAGTCTATAATACAGTACTTTATTAGCAAAAAATGAACTTGGCAATTCATCAGAAGGATAAGCTTGACCATTAATATGATACCACCATATGAATCTTATACATTTTGACTGAAGTATTTTGTGTAGAATCATTTTGATCCACAAATCTGTACCTGCAGGGTGAAATAAAAATGACTGACAGAAATATTTATTAACCATATAATTTCATTACATTTCCTTTAACTATAGGATAAAGCTATCTGATTAATTAAGACAGAATAGAATTTTCTATATTACAGTTCATTTAAACCATGCCGAGTTGCATTAAGGCAAGATCTACATTCAGAGCCCCTAAAGAGAACTGAAGAGAAACAATCAGCAGAAATTACACTGGAAGTATTTAATGTAAATTGTATTACTCTGTTGCTGTTGCTGCATGCAATATTAATTATGTTTAAAAATAAGTTTTACTAAAATGCTCATTGCCCATTAAATATTAATCATGAATATAGAAATTAACCTCTGGGGCTATCAATGGCTAATTAGCCATGGCAGAGTACTGTGTTTGTGTAGATATTTTTCTTCTGGTACCTGAGATAGTTCATTCAGAGCTGTCTTATGTGTGTCTATACACTGCTGCACTGAGGTCTTGCAGCCATGCATCTTCAATGCATCAATGCTCAGAAGAGCAGGCAAAAAAAAGTGCTAAGGTCACTTCACAGAGTCTTCTAACAAAGTTCTTTCCCACAGTGTTTTATCATAATCTGTAGATCTCTGAAAACAAAAATAGCGCTAAAATCTATGAGGACTACTATTAACATAACGTTTCCATATCTCTAAGCATAATGTTCAAAAAGAAAATATGTTAATACTTGGCAAAATTGAAATCCTCACCAGTTGGAAACCATTTTCAATTTCATGTTCAGCAGAAAGTCTGGCAAAGGCATACTAAAAAAGTGTATTTTGTATCAGTTAAATTATCCTATACTACAGCTGTAAGTACACAACTCTCTTGATCTGAAGTTCAGCATTTTATATACTTCACTTCTAAAGCTAAGAGAAAGAAAAGACTTTTGAAATAAAAAAATCATAACACTTCAGCTGCAAAGATAAACAAAGTGGGTAAAACAATTTTAAAATGATTTAATTGGTTCCCAGTATTTAAATCTGGCTATACAAAAATAAAAATAAAAAAAACAAGCTGGCTATTAAATGTAAAGAAGAAAGTTTTCATTCATTAGGATTCCTTGGGCATCTATTCATCTATTGCATTTCTTAGAGATAACGTCAGCTAGTTAGTCTGGTTTGAAACAGTGATGTAATCCCAAAGTAAAACAGAGTGCCTGTGAAGAGTCTAGCCAGTTATCAATCTTGGAATGGTTTGGGTTGGGAGGGACCTTAAAGATCATTTAACTGCAGACCCCCTACCATAGGCAGGAATGCCACCCACTAGATCAGACTGCTCAGGACCTCATCCAATCTGTTCATGAACACCTCCAAGGACAGGGCATCCACAGCTCCTCTGGACAACCTGTTCCCGTGCCCCACCATCCTGAGGGAAGAGTCTCCTCCTAATCTCTAATCTAATTCTCCCCTCTTTTAGTTTAAAGCCATTGTTAACCCATGCATAACACACAGACAACACTGAATTTAGACCAAAATGTTACAGCACGAAGCAAAGGAAGACATCAATACCTTTTACAGGAGAATCTAGCAGACTCACTGCAAATGGGAAATCTGGAGGCTAGATCCTCCTGCACAGAAGTGTCCAACTGCTCTTTTTGCTCCTCAAGGCAAGTTCCCAAGTACCACGTACAAACATTAGACAACAACAAAGAAAGGAATTGGAATCAGCAAGAAGCAGAGCCTATAGTTGAACATGAGGTATTTTCTCTTCAGGATGGGTCCTGAGCTCTGCTCTCTCTTCCTAAATGGCCATGGCCTTTGCGTTAAAAAATACTTCAATAAAGTGCATTAACATCCTTACAGCAGAAACCAGAACTGAGGATTCTTAAATACTGGAGGCATCTACTCTGCAGCACTGGGTTTAAGCTCTTGTCTGTGCTGTCTTCTGTTTCCTATCAGATGACTACTTTGTTCTATGCTTCTGAGAAGAAGGGCTAAATCACACTAAAAAAGTTTCCCAGGTTTTTCAAAAATCATGAGAAGAGGAAGATGTCTCCTGGAGGCCAGCAGAACAACTTTTCGTAGTTTACTGACACTTTATTGACTAGGCACAGGGCCTTGGCACCTATGGTAGGAGCTCCAAACCATATGTCAATCACTTTCTAATTAAGCATTGCAACAGCTGAGTGAAGCACTCAAGAGCAGACCATATGGTCCCTGAGCAATCTGCCCAAAATCACTTAAGCTTTTGGTATAACCAAGAATAAAAGCAGTTGCACATGAGATTCTGCCTGTTTCCTTGGCCATATTTCCTTTCACAAAATTCTTCATGTAAATTTATCTCTAATTACAACAAAGGAAAAAAAACACATTAATGTGTTAGAATTCATTCAGAGGAAAAGTCAGAATATGGATAAAATCTGCACAATTTCTAAAGAGGTTACATCCAAATCCTTTTAAAAAATAATTATTTGTTGCTCTTCTACAAGGGCAGAACATCACTGTGATCTATTTCATTGGCTAATGAACTGTAACACAGAGTAATTATACTGGACAAAATCTATGAAGCAAGTAAAACAATATATTGGAACCAGACCAGTTCTTATTTCGCATATCTATTCTTAATCAGAACAGCATACACTTTTTCTGAAGTATACCAAACTCAATACCAGTTATACAGCAAACTTATTACCTTCTTCCAATTATAAAAAATCCTGATTATTGATTTTAAGAAATTCTAACATCTACATTGTTTGCAGCAAAATACCGAAAAATTGCAAAGGAAAACCTTTCCCCAGAGGAGTTTTGTTTGTTTGTTTTTTACATTCCTTGCAGTTTGAGAAGCAGGTTTTGTTAATATAATCAATCTTTAAAAGACAACATTTCCAATCCTCAGAAAAAATTTGACAGCAGGCCAAAATTATTATGCAGAAGTGCACTACACAGGGACCTACAAAGTAGCCAAAATAAAGCAAACAGTATTCTGGAAACACCTGCAACTGTCAGATGAACTTGAGAAAAAATGGTATTATTAGGGTTTGGCTCCTGCTTCCAACCATGCAGCTAAATGTCCTACTTCCCTTTGAGAAACCATCTGAGATAAGAATCCCCTCAGACTTCCAGATGTGGGGAACTGAAAACTGGGCCTTTATTCTCAGGAGGTGGTACTAATCATGCTGACTTGTCCTCAGTCTACGTAACCAGTCAATTACAGAACTGCTCCTGTACTAAACAAACATTGGAACAAGTGTGCCAACATCAACAAGATAATCTCTGATCAGGTTCTGATAGCTTTTGTTCTACCAGTTACATCAAGTTCTGCATCTACTTTGAGAGTTTCCAGATGGTAATGGGGTTTTAACGCTTCCTGGCAGTGAACTTTTTTCCATGGTATAGAGGATAGCAATATAAATCCAACAAACCAGCCACATTATAAACATCATGAAAGGAAGCAACAACAAAAAAGAAAAGGAAAAAAAAACATTTAGGTTGCCTACGATCCCGAAATAGCCACATGATACATAGCTATGAGAGTATTCAAACACTTTATTCACATGGATAAAGATGGTGTTCCTGTAGTTCCTGTAAAATGTTTCACAACTAAAGAAGTTAAAAGCAGGCAACCTTTAAAAGAAACGTATGAATGTAAATCATTTTTTTCCTCTGCTAAAATGGAAGCTCACCTCTTCATACACTTTCTTGGCATTGCTGTTGTCTCCTATCAAGAGGTAACCAACACCAAGGTCATTCTTGAATGACGTATCACTGGGAAACAGGTGAACTAATTTCTGTAGAGTAACCAGGGAACTTCTCATGCGACCTAATTTGATTGAACAAGACTTCATTACAGCTATGGTTATGAGTAACAGTAGTAAGATGCACAACATCTAGAAAAACATAAACCAGCGCCAGGTGTTTCATTTTCACAAGAGATCACAAGGCAGAACTTGAGAAAAGACTTATGCAGATAGGAATATATTCATCTGCTTGGCTGTCACATGGGGTGTAGTCATACAAGGAATACTGTACATAACCACTAAGAATGTGTATCCTGCAGTGTTATGGTAGCCTCTAGTGGAGAACAGTTCACAGTGTAGCTGTAACAACATTATTTAAGCTTTGGCTGCTCTTTCATATGTAGATGTCAAAGTGCTCAACAAAACCAGGTAAACATATCAAAACAAACTTAGTCTTAATTAACTTAAGTAATTAAACACATTTTAAAAATGATAAGTGACAATTACACTGAAATTAATCATGATTTACATGTTTAAAATTAAATACATGATTCATCAGCTTCCTAGATGAGGTATTACTGAACAACAAAATCAATATAAGTCGATATTAAAAGGCAGTACATAGGAACAGAACTCTTCTCCTGCTGAAATCTGCTGTGCTTTATGTTCTGATCAGCATTTCTTGCACATCACAGAACTGAGATCTAAAGTTTCAGATGGATTCATTACATTTCATTACCTCATTTTTAGAGTTCCAACTTCAGATTTTCACTCCCTGACAAACACACCTCAAATCTCGCTCATTTTTACTGGGTATTAACCACTTCTTAAAATGTGGCTTTTCAATCTATGGCTGGACATTCAAAACAAACACACTCAAAAACATTAGAAAGTGGCATTCAAGATGTCACGGTGGACATTCATTCTTTTGTCTCTGACACAAATTCATTGAAAGGTTTGTATTTTGGAGCTTTTATCAGTGATATTGTGATAAAACACTTGTGTGATCACCAGGACCAAGTTTTCCTATTTTTCTTTACAGGAAACTGCAATATAAATGCGAGATGTGAGAAGGTTTCCTAAACTGTCAACAGAAGGAAAACCTCATAAATTAAAACATTATCCCTCAATTTAATTCTGTTTTTCTCTATGGTTACTGTAAGTTTACCCTGGGTATGTTCACTTTGTGTACGTCATCAATTTCCCTGTGATTTTCCTCTGCTTCAGTAGAAAAAGAACATTTCCTTCTTTCTCTGTCAAGATATATATGTATATATATATATATACACACACACACGTATATATATATATATATATATTTAACCATCTCCCATCATAGGTTTACATGACAACTAGCGCACTGCTGTCTACAGACACTGCTGTCATACAAGCTGTACACTAGTAATTTTTTAAAGATTTTAAAAAGATTTTTCATAAACATTTAGGAGATTAGAAACACAACTACTGAAAATTTAATGGAATTAGCGCTTTTAAGTCCTTAGTGATCTTCTGAAAGTCTTGCTCACAGAACTTCCACAATTTTTACACCATCCTCATATCTTACCAAGAAATTGCTGCCTGTCAGCTTCTCGTTTCAAGCTCAGTTTTATCAGATCTGAAGGGACATTTGGCAGACTAACCACCTCATCATAGGTGTTGATGGCTTTTTGCAGTATCTCATTACTTCTCATTTTCTCAGCTAAGTCATCTTCAGACTAGAGAGAATCACAAAACTATTATTAGAACACATAATAATCTCTTGTTTTTAGAATAATTTAACTTTCTTTAAACACAAGCTATGCAATTGTTAGGTTATGGTAATCATTTTAAAATTCTATTTAATCTATACAACTTCTGACATAACAATGGAAAACTCATTCGGTTGAGCTTTGTGATAAAGTAAATTAGAAGCACCGCTGACTCTTGTTTCCTGCAAACAAGAATCCTTCCTAAAAGCATAAGAAAATTTGCACCTAAAACATACAGCATCATGCCCTGTGTTTACATTCATGCTCATTTTTGGTTAATATTTGCAGAAGTCACAATTTCTGCTTTTGAAAATAAATGAAGGAATCTGTTTCAATTATATGGAAGAAATGTAATTTGCTGCCTACAGATTATTTCTATACTAAGTCTTGTGCTGACAGCAGTACACAGAAAAACACACCAACAAGCTTTTTCATACATTCTTATATAAAGTCATTTACACTTTTTCTTAGAACAAACAACTAGGAATTGGCTTTACTCTTGCAGATGTTGATATAATATCTACCATATAACTCTTTCAGAACTTAAATTTGTTTACCAAGTTCAGGAGCAGACCAAAAGATATATCAAATTTCTACTGTGAAATTACAGCTTCAGTGATGTCAAATAGAACTACTAGTGATTTAACCTGTGGAATGTCATTTTTATAATTTGTTTCCACAATTGAAAAAAATGAGACTATATCTCAAACTGTAAATAGAAAAAGAATAGAAATTCTTACTTGTCAATTCACTGTTGTATCAATCACATTATTTAAACAAGCTTTAACTGCATTAGGTCTAATAAGTAGGTAATATCTGGAATCTTTTTGAACTTTATCCACTACATTTTTTTTTCCGCTCAAGCTATTTTGAAACTGAATATGAACAATATTAAACAATATTGTTACACAGCCAACAGTTGATCAGTTGGTTTCACAGATAAACTCTTCCCTTTTTTTTTTTTTTGAGGTTACTTATTTTTCTGATGTATATTCAGTAGGAAATTTGATTTCCCTTTTTTTTTTTTTGAGAGAGAGAATTGCAGGGTAAAGAATAGTAAAAGATAAATAAGAAAGAGGCAAAAATTGTCACTGTAAAATCTGATTAAATTCACCAATATAGATGTTGTAAATCACTAAGAGACTTAAGATCTATCTATTGTTCTTTTCAGCTCTAAAGATATTAACTATTTCTGCAGAATATTTTCCATCTGGCCTAAGTGTAGGTCCAGAAATCAAATTAGAAAGTACTCAAAGTTTTGAAGAACACTTCTAATTATGCAATCCTTTGCAGTTTTGGGGGAAAAACAGTTGCCTTTTAAAGTTATTAAAACATGGAGAAAAATGAATCCTTGTGCCTTATTATAATTAGAATCAATAAAATTAGCATATAACATTGGCTCATGGTTCACAGAAAAGGGGAAGTACATACAAGTGGTAAATTCCTGGGCTTTACTGTTATACTTCCTGCAGTTTTACCTTTACGTAGTAATGAGAGAGAAATTTGATGTGTTGCATGAGTATAAATACCCATTTAAAAGTAATACTGTTACGATGTAAATCCTAAGAATAATCCATCTGTCAGTGAAGCCCATAATTTTCTCATTCTTGTCAAACAGCTTCATCTTACACATACTGAATTCATAAAGATTGACATTGGTCATGTCAATACAAGTAGCCAGTAAAAAGACTTTCAGTAAAGAGACTGAAAATATATTCTCTTAGATATAATGAGTCATAAAAAATATAAACTAGTAAAAGTAAAAACAGAGTTAAGTCCATTACATATTGTATTGAGTTTGTGTGGCAAGGTTTTGGTAGCAGGGGGGCTGCAGGGGTGGCCTCTGTGAGCAGCGCCCAGCAACTGTCCCATTTCAGATCAGAGCCAGCCCCAGATAGCTCCAAAAGGGACCTGCCACTGGCCAGAGCTGAGCCAGGGAGCAATGCTGGCTGGGCCTCTGGGAGGGCATATCTAAAGAAAGGGAAAAAAAAAATCACTGAACAACAGCATTGACAGAATGAGGAGCAGCCCTGCAGACCCCAGGTCAGTGCAGCAGGAGGGCAGGAGGTGCTTCAGGCAGGCAGCAGCAGCTCCCCTGCCCCTGGTGGAGCAGGCTGTCCCCCTGCAGCCCATGGGTCCCACATGGAGCAGATCTCCATGCTGCAGCCCCCCGTGGGTGGAGGAGCCCCCGGTGGAGCAGGTGGATGTGGTGGGAGCTGCTACCTTTGAGGAACCCATGCTGGGGCAATCTGTTTCTGAAGGTTGGACCCCATGTTACAGACCCAAATTTGGAGCAGTTCTTGAAGAGCTGCTGCCTGTGGGCAGCCCCCGCAGGCTGAGTTTGGGAAGGACGGCATCCCGTGGGAGGGACCGCACGTGGAGCAGGGACAGAGAGGGACCATGAAGGCGAGGCAGAGACACCCTCAGGGACTGACTGCAGCCCCCATTCCCCGGTGCTGCTCAGGCAGAGGACAAAGAGGGTGGGTGGGGGCAAGGTACTTTTAGCTTGCTTTTAGGTTCTCACTGTTCTAGCCTGTTAGCAATAGGCAACAAACTATAATAATCTCCCTATGCTGAGTCTGTTTAGCCTGTGATGGTACTTAGTGTGCGATCTCCCTGACATTACTTCAACTCATGAGCCCTTTTTCATCATGTTTTCTCTCCCTGTTAATTTGAGGAGGTGGAGTGAGAGAGCACTGTGGTGGAGATTAGCTAGGCATCAGGATGAAGCTGCCACACATGTACAAACCTAAGTTGTCTCCTACTAAACAGGTAAATTGCTTAGCAGATCCCTCAGAGTATTTAAGTATTTGGTCTACTGTGTATCAAGTGCTTGTGTAACAGTTTCTTTGGATAATCGTGGCTTGGTTTTAGCTTGATTATTATTAACCAAATGAAAACTGGTTGTGACTGCAGTTTGAGTGCCTCATTAATTGTGTAACAGCACAATTCCCTTCAACTATGAGGGTTTCACTTAGCTCATCTTGATTAACGTGTTCAAGCAGTCTTCTATTACATGTATTCCATTGGGATTATCCTGCTATTTATGAAAATATGATTATTCTCCAATAAGACATCCATCCCAGCGTGGCTCAAAAAAATATATATTATGAATACAGAGCTTATTTTACAATGTTTTTTGGTTTTGCTGTTATTTTGGTTTTAAGACGTTCTTTGAGGCGAGGGGGACACACATGATGGCAGAACATGAAACAGAACTTCCTCCACAATAAAAAGCTAATTTAGCCTCCTTGCCTACAAACTTCTGTTCTTTATCCTTTATATATCCTTTAACATGCTCTATAAGAACTTCAAATCCCCTTCACTATTCCCATTAATGAAAAAGCAGCACTTAGTCCAGAGCTGTTTGGACTGTTGACAACAAAGTTATACCTGTTGTTCCTGCAGTGGGACATTAGCTGGTATTTCTCTCTTACCATTCATCAGTTATCATGACATTTATAGAATATATCTTATTTTTGTGTTATTGATTATACTTCCCACTAAAGTTAAACAAAACTTTCTGAAGTAACTGGGGAAGGACAGAGCACTGAAACAGATGCAATTTGACTGATCATGTCATTTTTTTTTTCCTTAGGAAATGTCCATGAAATTATAAACAAAGTCTGGAGTCTGGAGCTCTATTGTTAAAAAAAAGTTAATGTTTGCTTGTTTTTAAAACACTTATGGCTTGTAATTTTTTTATTTATGTACCTGTGCTTTTCCATATCTTGCTCGAGGACTTTCTGGATATTGATTCACCAGTGCTTCAAAGGCCTTTAGAGCTTCTTCAATCTTTCCCTGGAAGGTAGAGAGTTTTATCAGCATTTATATCTAATTAAAATGCTGTAGGATGCATAGCCTAATAACAAATTAGTTTCTCCAAATGAAATAAGTAAATAAGTAAATAAGTAATAAGTAAATAAAGACTAAGGATCAACAGTTTTCACTCACATTTTTGTTGGGATTACCTTGTTTAAAACAAATCACTGCCATTACTTCCAAAGCAATAATATTCAATTACCAAGGTCAAAGCTAGTAATTTTTGTTTTGCTTTACTCACTTTCCCTTTGCTGACTGCAAAGAATGTTGAGAAGACAATAATTATCTATACTAAAACATAAAAATTATATGGATAATAACAGAATCCAAATTGAATTTAACATACAGAATAAAAAGAAAGTTCTATACATAGGTAGAAATTTCATCTCTGCATACCTCATATGACCAGCTGTTTTGTAACTGTGGTTCTATGGGAAATGGGAGACCCATCTATAGTGTATGGATGTTTCCGCTGAATGTTTTGAGCAAGTATGTCCCTCAGGACTTCACATGTGCTCTGTATCTCTTCCCCGTCCCACACAAAGTCTGCAACCATTCTCACGAATGGTGCTGACTAGCAAGCAATGATGGAAGTTGAGAAGAACCAGCTGCACTGTTAAAGAGCAACTGCCGGCAAAATTTGGCATCGGATCTTGCTGCTGCATCCAAATCTTACAGCTTTATAAATATGAGTGGATTATTATACACAACTGTCCTGCTATCTTCAAATAGTACATATGTCTGATTTGTTATTAAATGTATCCTGCTGCATACAAGACAAAGTGTGATTGTTTGCATCTCACCATGAGGCAAAAACAGGAAAACACTCAGCTGACTGATACCATAGGCTCACCAGAATTTTCTGTCATGTCTTTAGTCAACTAATTGTCTAAGTAACAATAAGCATGTAAATGCTTTTCATTTTCGTATTCCAACATGTGAACAAGGTTCCCAGTGAAGAGCAGCAGTAGAAGCAGCCTGAGGCTGGTTCCCTCTGAATAGTAGCCCCACCATAGACTTACAGCCCCACAGGGGCTGCATGGATGGCAAAGCAAATCAAAATCTGCAGTCAGTCTTCTGAAAAATCAAGAATCATCTTACATCTGCAGTGATTAAGATGCCTTTTTTTTTTTTTTTTTTTAAATGTACTGTGCTGTAAGTGGAGTTTCTCATTGTTCTGTCATCTCAAATTCAGAGTAGAACTAAGACCTGTAGTTGTTCTCCACATGTTTTACATTTTTTTTTCATTGTCAAGTTATAAAATTTAAAACTACCAAAATTGATTGACTAATGTTAAGGTCTTACTGCCACTGGTGAGAAGCAGGAACATCTGCTTCATGCTCTATGCTTCTGTATGGCAGCAGAGACACTGCTAGGATGCATGTGGGAACTCCAGCAGAAACAACACGTAATACAAAGATTTCACCTAATACTCATGAATCACATGAATTCATACTGAAAGACCCATATTAACATGCTTATGTTATCTAAGTACTCTGATAAAAGTACACTTCAGTACTGAAATGGAAAGCAATAGGACAGATCTAGCCCTGTTCCATGTGATTAATTTAATCGCTTTTGTTGAATTCATATAATCAAAGAAGTGAGTGCAAACACATGAATAGACAAATACAATTTAAAAAAGAAAACTATCCAACAGAAGTTAAACTTGGAGCACAAACATGCACTAAACACTTAATTTTTAAAAGTTAATTTCACAAAAAGTAATCTAAAAGTAATTCTCCATTTTTCTAAGCTAACTTTTATTAATTTATATTCACTATTTACATCCTGAATAAAACATTCAAAACTTACTTTCTTACGTAATTTTTCTGCAGCGTCTAGTTCAGCTTTAATGGTCTTATCAAACTTGTTCAAGAGCTTTGGCTTCTTTTTCTTTTTAGCTAGAAGAAATTTAAAAATACACAGTTCATTACTTCTTTCATATTTCACAGCAATTATTTAGAGTAGCTTTAACTAGAGATTAGTACTGGAAAAGTGCATGTCTTCAAATGAGTCAGTTTCAAAACACACTGAAAAGAAATTAATTTCTTACTTATTACAATCACAAAATCCTGTATGAAAAAGTAATCATCAGTCATTCAGACTGAATAACTTTGCAGTCAAGTTTTTGAATAAGTATTTGTCATCTTACACAGTCAAGATTTTTTCCAAATGGTTGTTTGACATGGAGAACAGAGAAAACTATGTTATTTTTCCACATTTGTATGGTGTTACAAAAAATAACATTATCAGGACTTGATAATCATTTCTTAAGTTTTGCCTATATATATATATATTTATATTTATTTATCTATCTATTACTGCAACTAAAACAATTAAAGCAATTAAAATAGTTGACAGAAATCAGAATTACTCAGGACAGAAGCAACACAAAAAGTCAAGCAGTCCAACCTACTGCTGAAAACTAGTTCAACACTGAAATGGTTGATCAAGACCTCTTCAAATGATCAGTTTTCCATAGCTCAGCAAGCTACTCCACATTAGCAGAACCATAACAGTATGTGGCAAACCAATCCCGAAGAAAATTGTGTAAAGTAAATTGCATTTGAAGCAAATTGAAGTAAATCGTGTCAATTTAAGCAGCTATTTACTTCAGCAAAGCTCGCACTTAATGTCTGGTTGGTTGCATTAAGTATACTAGATGTAAGAAAAATGTAGGTATACCTATAAAGGATATGACAGCAGATAACCACTTTTCTTCCCATTTGCTATAGTGAAACTTTGCTTTTGTACTTCGTTAAAAATATTTTTTTTTTCCTGACACAAGGGAAGTATTCTCTGACACAAGTAACTACTAGTTTTTGAATATTTGTAATTAGTAGCACGTATTTCTGTTTAAATTATGCTTTTTTATCCTCTCTGAAAAATGTTATTAATTGCATGAAAAGATGTAATTTATTATCTTCATAGGAGTTTAAACATGGAATGTCATAACTGGTACATGTGAAACTGAAACCAAACACCATACAAATTAACATCACAAAATTGCTGTAATGCAAGTATTTTGGACATCCACTACAAAGTATTATAACTAGACATATTTTATTCTTCTTCCTAAATCTTCACGTGCACTGCTCAGGGCTGAGAACAGCCACATGCTGCTGGAAGCTGTGCTCATGATTCAGTAAGTGACACTTCCTCTACAAGACTGATTCTACGCTGAGCTTTAAACAGACAAATCGTTTCATCTACACAAAAAAACTCGGACAAAGATTAAGGCTTTCGTTAGTGCTAAACCAATACTAGCCCATCCTAAGCATTAGAGAGACTCACGAGTCTGAACTGCTTCTGTATGACTTCAAAAAAAAATGTGATGACCACCTTTGGTTCTTTTTATGTAAGACTTCCACTGTCATGCTCAGCACTGAGCTCAGTTTGCGGGTAAGTTACAATTTTGCATTGAAAGAGTTTTTCTTGCATTACCTCTATATTTGTGCATACCAACGCTGAACAATAGTTTAGATACTTCTGCTTTTCAGAGGCAGGTGAAAAAAAAAAGCAATATTGAAGTAATCCTACTGAATTTCATTTACTTATTCACAAAGTTTGCATGAAGCTATAAAGATAAAATGTTTTAGGATCTATAAAGGAAAGGTGCTAAAGCAGCACTGCATTAGGATTGTTTTATCCTTGTTGATCCTTGTTATAATAGAAGCGACTGTAAATTTACAAGGCATTAGCTACCAAGAAGGTAAGAAAGAAAAAATGAAGTACAGGAATTTACTCCTTTTTCAGAATAAACCATCAAATAGTATGCTTTAAAGCACTTATTTTCCTCCCCTAAACACTTCAGCATTTCATTGTACTCTAAGACTTTGAAATTGAGCATTTCTACTAAGGCACAGAATAATGTACTTAAGGAATGCAGTTATCATGGAATCAAATTGACTGAAGAGATTTTACTTTACTCTTTTTCTTTTTCCAAACAAAGTTTCTGGAAAGTACCTTCCAAATGCACACTGAAATGTGTATATTAGAACTCTGTGCTAGTGAACATAGATGAACACTGAATAAAATGCACTGTTGTTTAGTATAGTACTATCAATTGAGATAATACAGATGATTTTCATGTCTTCTGTTCATTCCACAATGCAGTAGAAATGCATTTTAGACTGTGGCTGCTATTTCTTACTTAATATTAACCACTTGAAAGAAAAGTGACGGATTCATTGCATTTTCATGCAGCTAAAGATAGCAACAACTAAGGAGCATGACATTATTTTGTTTCAAGTACTCATACCCCTTGAATCCCCCAGAACTCATAGAACCAGCTCTCATCATGAGAACAAGGATTCTTCCACCCCAGGACCTTGAGCACAGAGTGACTAACAGGCATGATCAGAAGTTGCTGATGATAACATTAGGCCAGAAAAAAAAATATCTAAAAATGTTCCACCTCATTTTACTGAAATGAGAAACTATTACTCATTCAACCATTGCTTACTGCGTGGCTTTCTCAAAAGTATCTGTGAGTGAACCTGGGAGTACCAGCCCCAAAAGCCAATAAAAGCAAGCCTCCCTAAGGGCTTTTTAGCATCTTTGAACTCAAACAACCCAAGTGAAACTGCGTTCTGTTGTTAGCAGGAAAACTGAGACATGCCAGTTCCCCTGACTATACGGTCTAGGGAGCTTCCAGCAGGACATCACAACCATTCGGTTCCTGTTCTCTAAGTATGAGGCTGTACATACAAGAAATAATGCAAAACAACATTAAAAAGTCAATTCCCATGGCATGAATCAAAATCTTTTATCTAAAACTAGACCATTGCACAGAAATTGTGCATTCAGTAAGAGAGGACAGCTGTTTGTCAGCTTTTTAACTTTCAGCATTCATGGAAAGACATGCAGTCATTTGGTCTTTCTCAAACATAAACACGGTAAAAGTGAGGTTCCTATGAGGCAATGGAAAGAAGCTCTCCCACTCACTGAGAAACTAACTGCCTGTACTTTTCCGCAATGCCTCAGTTTACAAGAAGATGAGACAAAGTGAGTGTAAACTCTTACAAGTCTCTTGCAAAAGAAGTAAGACATCTTTCCCCTGATGTCCAATTTTAGTGACACATTGGAAGAATCTTTTTGTCACCCTCCATTACCAAGAAGCATTATTTTCCCATTTTCAGTACAATTTTGCATCAACTCTAAACCAGCAGGAGATCAATGTGAAAAGCTGGAATGGAGCTGTTAACATAAATATTATTCAGCTGCTAGGCACTAGTATAACACAACAAACATTATATAATGAGCAAATATTTTCATCTACCCATTCTACTCCTATGTTAAAGGATTCACCTGGGAGCTTTCAGTATAACCATCAAGCATTCCTCTATATTAAACAGATAGCCTGCTATCTCCCTACAGGGGTATTTTAATAAATTATACATCACCTCCTTCTAATGTAATAAACTTTTAGCAGATGTGACCCAATATATTAAATCCATTGTTACAAAGAAATAAACTTATCTGTTTTCAGAGGAAAAAAAAGTAGTTATTTTCCCCATGATTTACACATTTCACAATATATATGAAGAAACACACAATCACACAACTGCTAGGGTGATTGATAGTCCAAATTTGTTTGAGCAATGAAGTGGTAATAATTCTTTTATATATCATACTATGGTCTTGCAGGAATAATACTGAGGATTTTCAGTAATGGCCTTGGATGCAAGGATACACTTTCTACCTAGGATTGCTGTCATACGATTGCTCAGGTCTCCCTCAGAGAAAGGAGCTTCCACTGTTAAACCAGCAAGACAGGAAGAAGCCTCACAAGAAATCACAATGAATTCTTCCTAATAGAGAATAAACTATGGCCAGTGATGACAAGCAATACGATTATCTCCCTTCTGTATTAAGGCAAGGGAAAGAAGCAAAGCAAAGCAAAGCAAAACAAAACAAAAATCAACAAAAATTAGATGGAAAATATTTTGGAAATAATAAACATAATAATTTACAATGTTATCAAATGAATGATAAAGAAATAGCTATTTTATGTACCGATTTTGGCATATGAAAGCTAAAAATATATGATATGGCTTATGTTTTAAATTGAAAGGCTCTTTGTCATCACCAAAAGCAGTTGCAGCCTTTTTCTACAAAGGACACAGAAACACTCTTCTCATCCTAAGCCAAAACATTCTACCAGCTAGCTACTAGGAAGAAAATTAACTCTGTCCTAACTAAAACCAGGACAAATAAAAATGCACTTCTCTAAGACCACAAGTCAGCAAGAGAAAAATAAGGAAAAGGTAACTAAATGATTAAAGGAGATCGAATCACTTCCTTTCAAAGAATTGTTCAAGATATTTTGTTTAGTTGTCTAGGGTAAAGGCAGGGAGCAACTTTTTACATTTGTGCAAGCAAGAACAACACATTGCTCATGCTCTTCAAGTATCTTTTCCCCTAAACTCTGTTGCCTCAGATTGCTGTTACTGACCAACCACCTGTACTACTGTTGTTCTGTCTCAGCTGCATACTTCAGAAAAATGATTAGGGCTATAACGAGCCAGAAGAATGACCCAAGGAATGATGAATGTAAGTGACAAAGCCTCTCTCCTGTCACATAATGTCGCGTGTGCCCCACACCAAAAGGTGCTACTAGAACAGACGTGACCCTTTGCAAGAAACACTTCACCTGTTTCTACACGTAATACAGCACTGTGATTATATCTACAATTTACATCCTGAGCAAGAAGCAATACAAGCTCTGCAGCAGTACCTGATGGCATAACTCTTTGTACTCTCACTAAAACTTCATTCCTTTAGTTATTACTTGATGGATGATGTCACCAACGCAGTGACAGCTTCAAGTTTAGGCAACTAAATTTAGGTTTCTCTATGTAGTAGAACCTGTAAAAACCTTGTCATTATAGTTAATAGA